CAGGTCCTTAGGCAGGTTGAGCTTCCTGAGCTGGCGCAGGAAGTACATCCTCTGCTGGGCCTTCTTGATGATGGTGTCAGTGTTGGGCTCCCACTTCAGGTCCTGGGATATAGTGGAACCCAGAAACCTGAAGGATTCCACAGCAGACACAGGGATGTTGAGTATGGTGATGGGGGCAGAGTGGGGGGGCTCCTCCTGAAGTCCCTGATCATCTTCAAAGTTTTGAGCGTGTTAAGCTCCAGGATGTTTTGACCACACCAGAGAGCCAGCTGATCAACCTCCTGTCTGTAGGCTGACTTGTCACCGTTCCGGATGAGGCCGATGACCACTGTGTTGTCAGCAAACTTCAGGAGTTTGACAGATGGGTCTCCTGAGGTGCAGTTGTTGATGTAGATATGTTATATTAGTTTATCTGTCAGTAGGATGAATTGTAGTTAATGCTGATGGGATCATTTCTGGTACAAGAATCAGACATTCTTACTCAAACAACATCGACTGCACGACCATCAGAAGAGCAAAGTTATGTTCAGGTCTGTAACCGTCACCACACTCCTCCTGTTCTCGCATCCTTAACAACTGAGTTGAGTTTATTCACAATACCACTTCAAACATTACAAAAATACAATTAAGGGTACAGAATCAATTGGGTATAGTGAATGGGTCTCCCAAAGAAGCTAAAGAAAGCTTATAGATGGGGGCCCATGATTTATGAAAAGGTAGTATACACAGTTAACACTTGATAAATGCACACAGAGCACACCAGAACATACATAACAAAACATACACATACAATCATACACATACGTCCCAGTAATCCATTAAAAGACAGTTTGATATTAGATGTAGGTTGATACAAGGTGATTTTTTAGTTGTCTTTTGAAGTTGGAGATATATAGCAACACCTTTAGGCCATCATCAATCCTGTTCCAGATCTGCATCCCCCTACAGACAACACTCATACTCGCGCGCACATGTCGGCGACGTTTTCCTAATATAAGTGGTTTGATTCTCGTTTGGCTGGAGATAGGAATAAGACTACTCAATCTAGAGTTCAGCCTATTTACAATTTGAAACATAAGGCAGGCATTATGATATTGATTTAGCTCAGCTAATTTAAATAACTCAAAGCGATAGAATAGAGGGTTGGTGGGGGAATTATCTCTGACCAGGACAAAGCCCGTATGGCTTTTTTTTGCAAAGATACAAGTTTTTTAAGATGACTTTTAAAGGTGTTGCACCATATCACATTACAGTAATTAAGATGTGGTTCAAAGAGAGTTTTGTACAACATGAGAAGGGCAGACAGAGGAAGAAAATGTCTGATCTTATAGAACAAGCCAACACACTTTGATAGCTTGCTTACAAGATGGTCAATATGACATGTAAAGTTAAGAGAGTCATCAATGAGGACCCCCAGGAATTTAGTGGAATGCACTCTTTTTATCACCTGCCCATTAATTTTAATCAGGCAGTAAGCAGTGTAGTTAATTTGTTTTGTTCAATTTGAATAAGATGAAAGTTGTTTTGCTGATCTTTAGTGACAGTTTATTACATTTAAACCAGGAGTCAACTTTGGTTAGCTCTGAGTTGACTATATTTTGGGTATATGTGGGTTCCTGTGTGATGTAAATAAATTTGTGAATTTATAAAGTCATTTATATACAGAATGAATAAGAGTGGCCCCAAAATGGAGCCCTGGGGGACCCCAAAGATTATGGTCTTACAAGTAGAGTTATGATCATCGACATAGACATACTGTTCCCTCTCATATAGATAACTTCTGAACCCTTCAAGTGCTAGACCTCTGATACCATAGTGCTGTAATTTATGCAATAAGATATCAAAGTCAATGGTGTCAAAGGCTTTTGATAGGTCCAGGAAAATACCAACACCACATTTTCCCTCTTCAATACAGTCATAAATTTGTTCTATTAGGTCGAGCATTGCCATACAAGTTGTGCTCTTTTTTCTAAAACCGTATTGAGAGGGAACAAGAATATCCAGTTTATCAAGATAACCACTGAGTCTGTTGTATACTACTTTCTCCAGTACTTTAGCAAAAGTGGGTAGAATTGATATGGGCCGGTAATTGCTCATATCATTTCGGTCACCCGATTTATAAATTGGGATTATTTTAGCAATTTTTGTCATTTTAGGTACAATGCCAGTAAGTAAAGAAAGGTTAATACAATGAGCCAGTGGCTCAACAATGACGTTCGCAATGGCCTTCATGATCTTACTACATATTCCATCCACACCAGCAGAGTATGAGGTCCTCAAGTCCAAAATGATCTTGAGGAGTTCAGTACTATCCGTCAGTATCATGAAAAATGAATCAGTGTAGCTACCAGAAAGAAAATCATTAAAGGTGACACCCTGGGGTTGACTTATCTTTTTAGACAGATTTATGCCTATTGAGGCAAATTGATTATTAAAAATCTGTGCAAGATCACCTTTGGCATCACCAAGGTCAGGCAGAGCAGTTGATTTATGTCTCCTGTTGAGAACTTCATTTAACACATTCCATGACCTCCTAGACCTCCCTGACCCACCTACCCTGCGAAGCTTTTAACAACAATTCCTGTTTGCTTTCTGTTTTTTGTGTCCTTGAATATTTTAAATCTGCTTGTGTGAACCCGCTATTAAAAAAGCCTGATCTGGATCAGTCCATCCATCCATCGCCAACCGCTTATCCTGTGTACAGGGTCGCGGGGGGGCTGGAGCCTATCCCAGCTGACATTGGGTGAAAGGCAGGGTACACCCTGGACAGGGCACCAGTCCATCGCAGGGCCACACATAGATATACACATACACACATAGTCCCTCCTTCGAAATTTTTGACCAAGTTCCAAATTATGTTTTTATAGCAAAGATCTTAGAAGAAGTAATGTCCAAACAACTGCTCTCTGTACTGGAAAATAACAAAATTGAAAAGTTTCTATCTGGTTTCAGGAAGTACAACAGCACTGAGACTGCCCTGCTTAGAGTCACCAATGACTTTTTAATGGCTGCTCATGTACTCAGTCCTAGTACTCCTGGCCCTTAGCACTGCTTTCGACACCACTGAACACAAGAGACTGAGGCACTGGGTGGGGATCTTTGGTACAGCTTTAGAATGGTTTTTATCCTAACTGACCAATAGGAGGTTCTGTGTCTCTGTGAACAACTGTCTCTTTATTCTGTTCAGTTAAATATGGTGTGCCTCAGGGGTCGGTCATAGGACCCATTCTATTTTCCTTGTATATGCTTTCCCCTGGACACATTGTGCAGAAACATGGTGTCTCTTTTCATATTTACACTGATGACACACTGATGTACTTGCCCAGAGACCCTGGAGTTCACATACCAACTGCCTCTGTGATGTCAAATAATTTACTGCAGCTAAACTCAGACAAAACAGATATCATGGTCATTGGGTCCCAGCAAATGGCAAAGCAAATACTGCCATCTGAATTGAATTGAATTGAATCTGCTGGTTCCCTGGTGAATCATATCAGGCCTGTTGCAAAGAATCTTGGTCTCTGGTTTGACAGTAATTTAAGTTTCGATAAACTGAAACATATTTACATTGTTTAAACACATCATTCAACCTTTATTGAAGTGAATGAGAAGAGCTGTAGCCATCAGCAGCTAGGGATGGGAATTGATAAGATTTTAACGATTCCGATTAAATTATCGATATTACTCCCTCAACCCCTTTTTCCCTAATAAAACTTGTTTCATCTGAGCGGTGCGTTTGGGTCCTCTCTGTCCAACACAGAACACCCATCAAAACTGAGGTTTATATCTTTTGCTCATGGATGTGATGTAACTGTCTGAATGAGCACTTTAATAATATACAAGTGAAACTCAAACAATTAGCATATTGTGCAAAAGTTCATTTATTTCAGTAATTCAACTTAAAGGTGAAACTAAAATTATATAGACTCATTACATGCAAAGTGAGATATTTCAAGCCTTTATTTGATATAATTTTGATAATTATGGCTTACAGCTTATGAAAACCCCAAATTCAAAATCTCAGAAAATTAGAATATTGTGAAAAGGTTCAGTACTGTAGGCTCAAAGTGTCACTCTAATCAGCTAATTAATCCAAAACACCTGCAAAGGGTTCCTGAGCCTTTAATTGGTCTCTCAGTCTGGTTCAGTGGAATTCATAGTCATGGGGAAGACTGCTGACCTGACAGTTGTGCAGAAAACCATCATTGACACCCTCCACAAGGAGGGAAAGCCTCAAAAGGTAATTGCAAAAGAAGTTGGATGTTCTCAAAGTGCTGTATCAAGGCACATTAATATTCAAATGTGTACGGGTCCTGGACATGGGCTTCAAATGTCGTATTCCTCTTGTCAAGCTGCTCCTGAACGACAAACAATGTCAGAAGCGTCTTACCTGGGCTAAAGAAAAAAAGAACTGATCTGTTTCTCAGTGGTCGAAAGTCCTCTTTTCTGATGAGAGCAAATTTTGCATCTCATTTGGAAACCAAGGTCTCAGAGTCTGGAGGAAGAATGGAGAGGCACACAATCCAAGATGCTTGAAGTCCAGTGTGAAATTTCCACAGTCTGTGTTGGTTTGGGGAGCCATGTCATCTGCTGGTGTTGGTCCACTGTGCTTTAATAAGTCCAGAGTCAGCGCAGCCGTCTACCAGGACATTTTAGAGCACTTTATGCTTCCTTCAGCAGACGAGCTTTATGGAGATGCTGACTTCATTTTCCAGCAGGACTTGGCACCTGCCCACACTGCCAAAAGTACCAAAACCTGGTTCAATGACCATGGGATTACTGTGCTTGATTGGCCAGCAAACTCGCCTGACCTGAACCCCAGAGAGAATCTATGGGGCATTGCCAAGAGAAAGATGAAAGACATGAGACTGAACAATGCAGAAGAGCTGAAGGCCGCTATTGAAGCATCCAGGTCTTCCATAACACCTCAGCAGTGCCACAGGCTGATAGCATCCATGTCACGCCGCACTGAGGCAGTAATTCATGCAAAAGGGGCCCAAACCAAGAACTGAGTACATATGCATGATTATACTTTTCAGAGGGCTGACATTTCTTTATTTAAAATCCTTTTGTTTTAAATTGATTTCATGTAATCTAATTTAATTTCCTTTAAGTGCACAGGTGCTCCTTGGGCAAAAGGTCAGCGTAGAGCCCTAACCCATCAGAATTCAGTGAGTTCTCTCTGTTAACTCAGGCAATGCTGCAGCAAAGGAACACATACTGCAAGATACTTTTAAAAGTAGAGAGAAATTTAATGTTCTTAAACTGTGCACTGTGCAACTAAATTATTTAGTAAATACAAGTAGTGCATCTGATAGTCAATATTAAATGACACAGATCGGGATCAGGGGCAAAAAAACATTATGGGACATCCCTAGTTTCTACACAACAACTGGAAGGTATCTTCCTTCTACAGAGAACACAGAGACACTGAGGAATCATAGGACCAGAGCCAAAACCCAGGATAAAGAGGTTCAGTGAATGTAGTGTTGAAGGTGTGGAGGTGGATCAGTGTGTCAGAGGAGACTCTGTAGAAGGACAGAGAGCCAGCAGGACAGTCCACATACACTGCTACTCTACCAGAGACAGAGTAGAAGGAGGAGGAGGAGGAGGAGGAGGAGAGAGGGAGGACAGTTTTTCTGTTATTGTGCCAGACAGAGTAACCAGCATCAGAGCAGCTCAGACTCCAGGACTGATCATTTCTTCCAAACACACAATAATCACTGTTCCCTCTCCTTCTGATTCCTCTGTAACTCACTGATATATTAACTCCTCCGCTCCACTCGACCTCCCAGTAACAGCGACCAGTCAGACCATTTCTACACAGCAGCTGCCAGTAGTCAAATCTCTCTGGATGATCAGGATATGGCTGCTCCTCCTCCACATATATCACCTCCCTTTCATTGTCAGACAGTTTGAGGTTTCTGTGTGCTGTGTTTGTGTCCAATGTGAGTTCACAGAAATCTGATGGAGAGAATGAGACACAACACAGCAGCAGTTTATCATCAGACACATCTGAAGGTTTATTCTTATTCTTTGTGTGCTGATTTCATTTCATTTATATAAAGTTTTATGATGATGCATTTAGTCAGTAATGTTTGAATCCACACTTACACTTCCTCAGACCAGGTTTTAACCTCTGCTCTCCACCATGGTCCACCCTGGATGAAGAAACACAGTCAGTGATTTTCTATCCAATATGAGTTCTAACTGCTGTTCAACATGAAGCAGTGTTCCTCAGTTTGTCAGTGTGACAGAGAAACAGGCTGAAACTCATCTGTGTCAACTGTCTCCAGGATTCTTTCACTGTTTGAGAGAAAAATATCTGAAGAAGAAGTGGGAGAAAACGGTTTTAAAATTGAATTTCATATCAATAAAGGAATGTATTTCTGCTCTCTGAGCAGCAAAGCATTTATAATGTTATTATCTACATTTGCTCATTCATCCATTGAAGTATTGAGCTCTAACATGTTGACCTGATGATGACGCTAGATGAGAAGTCAGAGGATCACCAAGTTTTGATAATAATAATAATAATAATAATAATAATAATAATAATGATCTGGTACAGATTCTCTGAAGTATGTTGGACACTTTCCTGGTAGAGGTTGGCCTCTTCCAGGGCTGCGCTTTGTCACTAATCCTTCCACCAATTTTTGATGATAATAATAATAATAATCCATCCATCCATCGTCAACCGCTTATACTTGCATACAGGGTCGCGGGGGGCTGGAGCCAATCCCAGCTGACATCAGGTGCAAGGCGGGGTACACCCTGGACAGGTCGCCAGTCCATCGCAGGGCCACACATAGACGAACAACCACTCACACTCACACCTAAGGACAATTTAGGGTAACCAATCAACCTAGCCTGCATGTCTTTGGAGGGTGGGAGGAAGCCGGAGCACTTGGAGAGAACATGCAAACTCCACACGGAAAGCGGGGTTTGAACCTACGACCTTTTTGCTGTGAGGAGACAGTGCTAACCACCGCACCACCGTGCCGCCCCTAATAATCATCATCATAATCATCTGTATACAGATTCTCTGTAGTAAATTGGACTCTTTGCAGGTGGAGGTTGGCCTCTGCCAGGGCTGTGGTTTGTCACTAATCCTTTTTGCGATATTCATGGACAGGATAACGAGGCATAGTCAGGGTGGAGAGGGGTAGCAGCTCATCGTTGCTTTTTTCCCTTAGAGAAAGGGTAAGAAGGCATCCACTGGGCCCAAACATATGGATGTGGATGGACCCTCAAACCTGTTCATTCAATAATGGACCAGAAAGGAATGACTCAAAAGCAAAGACATTAGAATCATCTGCAGAGTGTGAGCTCTTGTTTACTGTCCATACCTGAGATTGTCCAGTCCCCCGTTTGGATCCGTCAGTCCAACAGACAACAGCTTCACCCCCGAGTCTCCTGGATGATTGTAGCTCAGGTCCAGCTTCCTCAGATGGGAGCGGTTGGAACATAGGGCTGAGGCCAAAAAAGCACAGCCTTCCTCTGTGATCAGACAGCCTGACAGACTGAAATTAGGAAAACTTCATAATCTCAGTTAAACAAAAAATGATAAAATCAAGGGAAACTGGACTTGGTTGAAGAAGATACAAGAAGACATTTTGTCCCTCATCCAAGAGACTTCTTCAGTTTTGAAATGGACAGTGGGGAAGTGCACCTGATGGTCCTCAAATAAGTGTCCTTTATCCTTCAACAGCCACAAGATCCAGGAAGAAGACCAACACTACGGGGGATGAGGAAAAGAAGGTAAACGCAACATCATTGTGATTGCATATGTGTCTGGAGTATCAAAGAAACTCATAGGGATTTTCAACAAACACCACATCCCTGTGTTTTTTAAACCCAAGAACACGCTTAGACAGATACTGGTACACCCCAAAGATCGCACACCCAAACACAAGAAAAGCAATCTAGTGTATGTGGTCCAATGCCGTGAGGAATGCACAGAGCTGTATATTGGGGAAACCAAACAAAAACTACACAAACGCATGGCTCAACACAGATGGGCTAACCCCTCAGGTCAACTACTCAGCAGTTTATTTACATCTGTAGGACAAAGGACATTCGTTTGAGGACCATCAGGTGCACATTTTAGATAGAGAGAATGGATGGTTTGAAAGAGGTGTCAAGGAAGCCATTTACACCTGGGTTGAGAAACCATCGGTAGAGAGGGTCTATTGCTGTTCTTAAATCACTTCCCAGGAAAGTTAACAAACGTTACCTCTTGGCCTCAGTTGAAGATGCCAACAATGGCCATTCAGACTTGGCCACGGGTGGTTCAAATGAACATAACAACTGTCGTTACAACAGCCAGGAGCACTAACAAACCAGTAATGATCTTGGCAAACGACCCAACAGAGGTTACATAGCTGAGTTTCAGATACAAGAATTGTAGGGCAAATACGAGTTTGCAGCAGTGAGGTAATACTTTATCTTTCCTACTCTTGTGGTGCTATTTCTTTGCACTTTTACTGAGCAATCCACTAGAATCTGAAGGCCGGCTGAGCAAGATCAAACAACTGGGTGTGTGTCCCACCCACTGAAACCAAGCTTTTGTCTAGTTAATCTGGAGGGAAATCTCAGCTGGGTGAAAACAGTTGTAATTCCCAACACCTGTGTGCAATTAGACTCATACTAGTTCAGTGAAACCTACCACTGAACCAACCTATCCTTGTGTGAAGACCTACTTGGGTAAAGACCAGCGAGTCTACCTGTGCAAGGCCTTGGGTAACGACCAGCAAGTCTACCTGTGCAAGGCCACCTACAAGAGTAGCTTTTCCTTTTCTGTGGCACACCTACTCACCTAAAGCTGCTGACTACAACTACACTTAGGCCATGTGCTACTATACTATTCCTGTTGTCTCTGGTCCACGCAAGACGTATCTTGCCATCAGGCACAGAAATCAGGCACTCCTCAAGCCTTTAAAACAGGCACCACCCACATCTGTTTACTTGTCTGTTGGGTCATGGAACTTGTTTCTTTTTTTTTTTCTTTTTTTTTTATAGACATGGAGGCGAGGCTCAGTGATTTAGAAGTCCGGCTCCGCACCATGGTAGATCAGTCGTGAAGTTAGCGAAGCCAGCGGCCATAGTTAAGTGCATCCCTGGGGCCAGAGCGGGCGACATTGAGTCTTATTTGAAACTGCTGGCTAAGGATAAACGTAAATACAGTAAGATTGTTATTCACGTCGGCGGTAATGACTCCCGGTTACGCCAATCGGAGGTCACTAAGATTAATGTTGAGTCAGTGTGTACATATGCAAAAACAATGTCGGACACCGTAGTTTTCTCTGGACCCCTGCCAAATCTGACCAGTGATGACATGTACAGCCGCATGTCGTCATTCCGCCGCTGGTTGTCGAGGTGGTGTCCAGCAAACGATGTGGGCTTTGTTGATCATTGGCAGACTTTCTGGGGAAGACCTGGTCTGATCCGGAGAGACGGCATCCAACCCACTTGGGAAGGAGCAGCTATCATTTCTAGAAATCTGGCCAAGTTTATTGGTGGACCAAATCCATGACAACCCAGAGTTGAGACCAGGAGGCAGAGTCGCAGTTTAACACACTTCTCTGCCCTTCTTTTTCAGCAGTTACCCACCCAAAACCCTACGTAGAGTCACAGTCTAACACACTTCTCTGCTCCTCCATTTCAGGAGTTAATTAGTGAAAATCCTATAGTGACGGTGTCTGTCCCCCGACCATTGAAATTATTTAAAAAGGTAAACAGAAGAGGAGCTGTGCATAAAAACTTCATAAAAATTGAAACCACAAGAGCAATAGTGCAAACGAATAGGAGAGTTAAATGTGGACTCTTAAACATCAGATCTCTCTCTTCTAAAGGTGTACTAGTAAATTAACTAATATCAGATTTATGAATTTATTTTGTCTTACTGAAACCTGGCTGGGTGATGGAGAATATGTTAGCATAAATGAATCCACCACTCCCAGTCATATTACTACTCACATTCCTCGAGGCACAGGCCGAGGAGGTGGAGTTGCAGCTATCTTCGACTCTAGCCTACTAATCAGCTCTAAACCTAAACCAAACTATAACTCATTTGAAAGTCTTGTTCTTAGTCTTTCGCACCCAAGTTGGAAATCACTGCAACCAATTCTCTTCGTTATAGTGTACCAAGCACCTGGCCCGTATTCTGAATTCTTATCTGAATTTGCAGAGTTTTTGTCAACTTTAGTCCTTAAAACGGACAAAGTTATTATTGTAGGGGATTTTAATATTCATGTGGACGTTGAGAATGACAGCTTTAGTACTGCGTTTATCTCTCTGTTAGATTCCATTGGCTTCTCTCAGAGTGTTCATGAACCGACTCACTGTTTTAGCCACACCCTCGACCTTGTTTTGGTATATGGTATTGAAACTGAACATTTAGTGGTATTCCCACAGAATCCCTCTTTATCCAACCACTGTTTGATAACTTTTGAGTTTGTATTGCTGAACTACACGCAATTGGGCAAAAATTTCTATACAAGATGTCGGTCTGATAGTGCTGTAGCTAAATTTAAGGATGCGATTCCATCAGCTCTAAATACATTATCTAGTCACAAAGTAACGGAGGACTCCTATGCTAATTTCAGTCCCTCCCAAATCGATAATCTTGTTGATAAAGCTGCAGGCTCGCTGCGAATGACACTCGACTCTGTAGCCCCTCTAAAAAAGAAAATACTAAAACAAAGACGGTTAGCTCCATGGTATAATACTGAAACTCACAAATTAAAGCAAATATCGCGGAAACTTGACAGGAATTGGCGTTCCACCAAAGTGGAAAATTCTCGTTTAATTTGGCAAGATAGTCTTAAAACTTATAGGAAGGCCCTCCATAATGCCAGAGCAGCGTACTACTCGTCATTAATAGAGGAAAATAGGAACAACCCCAGGTTTCTTTTCAGCACTGTAGCCAGGCTGACAGAGAGTCACAGCTCTATTGAGCCAAGTATTCCCATAGCTCTCAGTAGATACGACTTCATGAGCTTCTTTAATGATAAAATTCTAGCTATTAGAGACAAAATTGGCACCGACTTATCTCTTAACTCAGGAACCTTAGAAACAGCTGTAGAACCAGATACATGTTTAGACTGTTTTGCTTCACTCAATCTTTACCAACTAACTTCAATAATTTCTTCATCTAAACCATCAACCTGCCTCTTAGACCCCATCCCGACTAGGTTGCTTAAAGATGTTTTACCCTTAGTCAGCACTTCTATGCTAGATATGATCAATCTATCTCTATCAACAGGCTATGTACCACAGTACTTTAAAGTAGCTGTAATTAAACCTCTTCTGAAAAAGCCCAAACTTGATCCGGATGTTTTAGCCAACTATAGACCTATATCTAACCTTCCATTTCTCTCTAAGGTTCTGGAGAAGGAAGTTGCTAAACAGCTATGTGACTTTCTACAGAGCAATAGTTTATTTGAGGATTTTCAGTCAGGATTTAGAGCTCATCATAGCACAGAGACAGCACTGGTGAAAATTACTAACGACCTCCTTATTGCATCAGACAAAGGACTTGTCTCTGTACTGGTTTTATTAGATCTTAGTGCTGCATTTGATACCATTGACCATCAGATCCTATTGCAGAGACTGGAACATTTCATTGGCATTAAAGGAACCGCTCTAAGCTGGTTTAAGTCCTATTTATCAGATCGATTTCAGTTTGTACGTGTTAACGATGAGTCCTCCATGCACGCCAAAGTTAGTCATGGAGTTCCTCAAGGATCTGTCCTCGGACCAATCCTCTTCACTTTATATATGCTTAGGCAATATTATCAGGAAACATTCCATAAACTTTCATTGTTATGCAGATGATACTCAGTTATATCTATCGATCAAGCCAGATGAAACTCATCAGTTAGCTAAACTTCAAATGTGCCTTCAGGATGTTAAAACCTGGATGACTTGTAATTTTCTAATGTTAAACTCAGATAAAACTGAAGTTATTGCTCTGGGGCCCAAGCACCTCCGTGACGCATTATCTAAAGATATAGTTTCCCTGGATGGCATCGCCCTGGCCTCCAGCACTACTGTGAGGAATCTTGGAGTTATCTTTGATCAGGACATGTCGTTTAAGTCTCACATTAAGAAAATTTCAAGGACCGCCTTTTTCCACCTACGTAATATTGCGAAAATCAGGAACATCCTGTCTAAAAATGATGCAGAAAAACTAGTCCATGCATTTGTTACTTCTAGGCTGGATTACTGCAATTCCTTATTATCAGGCTGCTCGAAAAAGTCCGTTAAGACTCTTCAGCTGATCCAGAATGCTGCAGCACGTGTTCTGACAGGAACCAGGAAAAGAGATCACATTTCTCCTGTTTTAGCTTCTTTGCATTGGCTTCCAGTAAAATCCAGAATAGAATTTAAAATCATTCTTCTTACCTACAAAGCTCTTAATGGTCAGGCACCATCTTATCTTAAAGAGCTCATAGTACCTTACTACCCCACCAGAGCACTTCGCTCCCAGAATGCAGGGTTACTTGTGGTTCCTAGAGTCTCCAAAAGTAGACTTGGAGCCAGAGCATTCAGCTATCAAGCTCCTCTCCTGTGGAACCAGGTTCCAGTTTGGGTTCAGGAGGCACACACCATCTCCACATTTAAGAGTAGGCTTAAGACTTTCCTCTTTGATAAAGCTTATAGTTAGGGCTGGCTCAGGTGAGTCAGCTCAGTCTCCTCCTATTACTTCCTGCAGGTTTTCTGGCTCTGGAGCTGTGGAGTCTGGATCTGTGGCTGCGGGTCACCTGCTGCCCCCGTGTTCCTCTGCTGCAACGACTATTGTTACTAGTCCTATTGTTATTATAATCATTAACATTACGACTGTTACCATTAACACTACTATAAATATCTGCACCATTTTTCATTTAGTCTATAGCAACCTTTACTGTCTGTACCCCTCTGTGTGTATATTGTGTAGGCTGCTCTCTCTCTCTCTCTCTCTCTCTCTCTCTCTCTCTCTCTCTCACCCCAACCGTTGGAGGCAGATGGCCGCCCACCCTGAGCCATGGTTCTGCTCGAGGTTTCTGCCTCTTAAAAGGAAGTTTTTCCTTGCCTCTGTCGCCTAGTGCTTGCTCTTGGTGGGAACTGTTGGGCTTCTGTAAATAGCATCACAGAGTATGGTCTAGACCTGCTCTTTTATGAAAAGCACTGAGAGATAACTGTTGTTGTGATTTGGCGCTATATAAATAAAATTGAATTGAATTGAATTGAATGGAACTGCCAGTCGACAGTTAACAAAGCTGACTTTATCACTGCTTATTCTAACACATTTTCTCTTGGGCTACTGGTGCTCACTGAGACCAGGATCAAACCAGAAAACTCTGCTACCCCCGCTGCGCTGTCCACCAATTACTCTTTCTCTTTTGGGACTGGGGTTCTTAATTTCCAACAAATGGAAATTCGCACAGCTGCTACTCCCGAATCAATATGCCTCTTTCAAATACCATGCTGTCTTTGTGTCCGCTCCGGTAAAGGTCTCTGTGATTTTCGACTTCCTCTCTCTCATTCAGTCCTTTGATCTAACACTGGTTCAGAAAGCTGGCAAGGTGCTTGTCCTCGTTCTTGTCCGCAACTGTGCCACAGAGTGCCTAACAGTCACACCTCTACATGTGTCTGACCACTATTTCATTCAGTTCACGGTATGCCTACAGGAACAGCCCATTGTTCCAACACTGTTTGTCTCACACTGCCACAACCTCCGCAACCTGTCTCCCACTCACTTTTCCTCAGTGGTAGCTTCCGCTCTACCTTCCCTCAACACATTTTCTTCACTTGAGGTCAATGATGCCACACAATCTCTGTGCTCTACACTAAGCTCATGCCCGGATAGCCTGTGTCCTCTATCCACCAAGCTTGCTCGCAGTCCTACTACATCTTTTCCCCTGACCTCCCAGGTCAATGGTTCTTCACTCTACTCGTTTACTCCTCTCACAGAGAGCGAAGTATCAGAGCTCCTGACCCATAGCCGTCCCACTACATGCCCACTGGACCCGATTCCTACGAATCTCCTCCAAGCCATATCTCCTGCTGTGGTCCCAGCAATCACTCATGTGATAAATACTGCGTTCTATCTTCTGTCTGTAACAGAAGCCCTAAGGTCAGCTAAAGCTGCAGCCCAATCCTCGGTTCTTATCCTGCTTGACCTATCAGCTGCCTTTGACACAGTCAACCACAAGATCATGCTATCTGCTCTCTCTGCAATGGGCATCTCGAGTAAAGCACTCCTGTGGTTCGAATCCTACCTCTCGGGGCGTTCCTACAATGTTTTGTGTCAAGGACAATTATCCTCCTCCCACTGCCTCTCCACAGGGGGGCCCCAAGGCTCAGTGCTTGGGCCCCTTCTCTTCTCAATTTACACCACCTCACTGGGGCCGATCATTCGCTCGCATGGCCTCTCCCCGCCAGGCGATCCCACCGTCTCAACGCGGATCACGGACTGTCTCTCAGACATATCTGCATGGATGAAGGCTTGCCACCTTCAACTAAACCTCTCTAAGACTGAACTCTTGGTCATTCCAGCCAAGCAATCTATCCACCATAAAATCAAACTACAAATTGACTCCTCAACCATCACCATCACCAAGGTGGTGAGAAACTTGGGTGTCATGATTGATGACCAGCTGTCCTTTTCAGACCATGTTGCTGCTGTCTCTCGGTCATGTTGCTTTGCTCTATACAACATAAGGAAAATCACGCCCTACCTCACTCAGTACACCAACTAGATTCTGGTACAGGCCATTGTTATCTCGCAGCAGCGCGTCTGGCTTTTGATCAGCCCAAAAGGACTCATGTCACTCCATTACTCAGTGACCTCCACTGGCTCCCCGTGTCGTCCAGAATCAAATTCAAGTCACTATTGCTTGCATACAGAGTGACTACTGGGTCTGCACCATCTACCTAAACTCCATAATACAAACTTATGTTCCTTCTCGGCCGCTATGCTTCTCCAACGAACGCCGCCTGGCTCTGCCATCCCTTCACACAAAGCAATCCCAGTCCCGGCTATTCTCATCTGTGACACCACGATGGTGGAACGAGCTACCACACGCCATCAGAGCAGGGGTGTCCCTCTCTAACTTCAAGTAGCTCTTGAAAACTCATCTCTTCTGAGAACACTTCCTCTTATAACACCTCTACCTCGCACTTCCTGTGTTATTCTTCTTCTAATTATCTTGTATTAATTGCACTTTTTTGTTAACTCTTCCTAACTAACTCTCTCGGCAGAGCCAGCTGGCGTTCGTTGGAGGAGTGCAGTGGCCGAGAAGGAATGTAAGCTTATATTATGGAGTTTAGGTAGATGGTGCTGACCCAGTAGTAGGTCTATATGAAAATTTAATAAGATTTTTTCTTGTTTTGTAGTACAGTGATTTAAGACAAGGGGAGACTTCTGTTTTTATGAAACTGAAAATTGCTTGAGGTAAATTGCTCTGCAAAGCCAGTGTGACACTAAACAATGAGCTTAATTCTGACCTGAGAGTTTCCAATTTACAGTGAGGACTTCCCAGTCCAGCAGACAGCAGTTTCACTCCTGAATCCTGTAGATTGTTGTTACTCAGGTCCAGCTCTCTTAAACTAGAGGACTGAGAGTCGAGAACTGAGGACAGAGCTTCACAGCTTCTCTCTGAGAGGTTACAGCCACTTAGTCTGGAGGATTGATGAGACAAAAAAACCAGTTTGTAATGGATCATCTATAAAACATAAAAATGTACAATGTATTGTATTTAAAATATCAATTCCAAAAACCCCTGCTAACTAGTAATCTACTGATCCTTCCACCTACAGAGCTTTGTTGGAGGCTTTGACCACTGGCAGTAGCCTCAGAAGAGCCTCCTCTGAAGCAGAGTATTTCTTCAGATCAAACACATCTAGATCTTCTTCTGATGACAGTAAGATGAAGCCCAGAGCTGACCACTGAGCAGGAGAGAGTTTATCTGTGGAGAGACTTCCTGAACTAAGGTACTGTTGGATCTGCTCCACTAGAGAACGATCATTCAGTTCATTCAGACAGTGGAACAGATTGATGCTTCTCTCTGGAGACAGATTCTCAGTGATCTTCTTCTTGATGTACTCAACTATCTTCTTATATGTCTGTGAGCTACTTCCTGTCTGTGTCAGCAGACCTCGTAGGAGACTCTGATTGGTCTGCAGTGAAAGACCCAGGAGGAAGCGGAGGAACAAGTCCAGATGTCCATTTGGACTCTGTAAGGCCTTGTCCACAGCACTCTGGTAGAGATGTGTTAGTTTAAGTTTGTCTCTGAATACTTTTGACAGATGGGATGTTGATTGTTCTTCTGACAGCAGATTGACACCAGAGTTGATGAAGGTCAGATGGACATGAAGAGCAGCCAGAAACTCCTGAACGCTCAGATGGACGAAGCAGAACACCTTGTCCTGGTACAGCCCTCTCTCCTCTTTAAAGATCTGTGTGAACACTCCTGAGTACACTGAGGCTGCTCTGATATCGATGCCACACTCTTTCAGGTCTGATTCATAGAAGATCAGGTTGCCTTTCTGCAGCTGCTCAAAAGCCAGTTTTCCCAGAGACACAATCATCTTCCTGCTCTTTTTATTCCAGTGTGGATCTGTCTCAGCTCCTCCATCATACTTGATGTTCTTCAGTTTGGACTGAACCACCAGGAAGTGGATGTACATCTCAGTCAGGGTCTTGGGCAGATCTCCTCCCTCTCTGGTCTTCAACACCTCCTCCAGAACTGCAGCAGTGATCCAGCAGAAGACTGGGATGTGGCACATGATGTGGAGGCTTTGTGATGTCTTGATGTGGGAGATGATTCTGCTGGCCTGCTCCTCATCTCTGAACCTCTTCCTGAAGTACTCCTCCTTCTGTGGGTCAGTGAACCCTCTGACCTCTGTCACCATGTCAACACACTCAGGAGGGATCTGATTGGCTGCTGCAGGTCGTGTGGTTATCCAGAGGCGAGCAGAAGGAAGCAGTTTCCCCCTGATGAGGTTTGTCAGCAGCACATCCACTGAGGTGGACTCTGTAACATCAGTCAGGACCTCATTGTTGTGGAAGTCCAGAGGAAGTCGACACTCATCCAGACCGTCAAAGATGAACACAACCTGGAACTCTTCAAAGCTGCAGATTCCTGCTTCTTTGGTTTCAGGAAAGAAGTGATGAACAAGTTCCACCAAGCTGTACTTTTTCTCTTTCAGCACATTCAGCTCTCTGAAAGTGAATGGAAATGTGAACTGTATGTCCTGGTTGGCTTTGTCTTCAGCCCAGTCCAGAGTGAACTTCTGTGTTAAGACTGTTTTCCCAATGCCAGCCACTCCCTTTGTCATCACTGTTCTGATTGGTTCATCTCTTCCAGGTGAGGCTTTAAAGATGTCTTCTTGTCTGATGGTTGTTTCTGGTCTGTCTGGTTTCCTGGATGCTGTTTCAATCTGTCTGACCTCATGTTCATCATTGACCTCTGCAGTCCCTCCCTCTGTGATGTAGAGCTCTGTGTAGATCTGGTTCAGAAGGGTTGGGTTTCCTGCTTTAGCAATCCCCTCAAACACACACTGGAACTTCTTCTTCAGGTTAGACTTGAGTTTACGTCGGCACACTGCAGCAGTTCCTGAATGAAGAAATAAGAAATGTGATTAATAAGTGGATGCTACAGTAAATCTGATAAATGTAAAATTTAAAACATCAAGATGGTATTTATTTTCCTCCTTCATGAAATCTCATCAGCTCATCAGTTTGTGGTGATGGAGCAGTGGATTAGACGCATGCCATTGGTGTGAGAGACCCGAGTTCAACTCCCAACTGTGACATGTCTACCAATTTGACCCTGAGCAAGACACTTGACCCCTAGTTGCTCCAGAGGAATGCGACCTCTGACATATGTAGCAATAAGTCGCTGTGGATAAAAGCATCAGCAAAATGAATAAATGTAATGTAAAGTAATCAGTTGTGAACAGTTTCTGAGTTTCAGCCCAGAAGAATTCATAGATCTGATCCAAATGTGTGTTAACAGCAGTGTTGCCTCCATTTCCATCATGTTCAATCTGTTCAAATCCTCTTACTGCTCTGCAGACGCTCAGCCAGCTCCTCCTGCTTCATTCTCCTCAGGAAGTGCAGTGTGATCTTCAGAAATGCCTCTCTGCTGCTCCTCCTCTGCTCCTCCTCCTCACAGTCCAACACCTCCTCCTCCTCCCTCTGACTCTCTAAGAATTCTGAGTAATCTGGACTCAGAACTCTCTGGAACTTCTTCACCTCGTTCTTCACAAAACTGATAATGTTTTCCTGGAGCAGCTGGAACAGAAGAAAATGTAAAGTTGAACTGGTAGAAGTCAACATCAGATCATCTGTGACAGACAGAAAGCCTGCTGGTCTGCAGAGTGCAGCATGGATCAGAATGAGGCTTCATCATTTAGTTTGTGGCTGTTTACACTAGAAATGCCTCAAGCAGTGATTTTTAGATCTCACTTCATGATGGCAATGATGACGCAGCACGTAGTTGCAGTGGCTCTTTGTTTGTGTTTGTCCTATCTACATTGTGCTGGGTGGACTACCAGCTCAATCTTATCGAGATTGTAGCTTGCAGTGAGAGGAGTGTTGCTACACCTGAGTTTCTCTGCTCACACAACATACCAGTGGACACAGCGAGAAGACCCGGCCTCCCATGGATCACCATCATCGGGCAGGTGGCGAAGGCGGTACAGGGAGAGTAAACACGAGCGAGGCTGCGGGGCCGGCGTGATAATGAGGCTATGAAGGTAGCCACACAAACCACAGCTTCAAAGTGTTTTCCTCACCAACGCCAGATCACTCGCTAATAAAATGGATTAACTGAGGGTTTGGGTTGGGTGTCAGTGTTAGCTGGCACGTTTACTGGTTACTATTTGTACTAACTACTTTCTTATTTCAAGTTTTAATTATCGCCTACTGCATTCTCTACCTTATTTGTAAGTGCTCACTTATTGAATCTGCCTCCTTTCCTTTCACTTGTGAAACACTGAATGAACAGTGTTTTTCTTCTTACAAGCCTTCAGCAGTGTCTTCCTCCATCTTGTTAGAGAGTTTGTGAGTAGACAGCTGCGTGCAGATGTAGAGGGAGCGGCGGGGCTGCACGGTGAGGGACAGAGAGGAGCAAACACTGGCAAGACTTTACAGAAACCTAATAATTAACTCAACATCAAACTAAACTGGTATAAACGTTGTCTAATTTTACATCTCTTTTGAAATTATATCATATAATGAGGTATACCGCCCAACCTAGTGCATATACCCCCGTTAGGAAAACCGCTCCTATCATCACAAAGACTGTTAAAACTTGGCCAGATGGAGCATCTCACCAGCTCCAGGACTGCATCGACAGCACAAACTGGGAAATATTTGAACATGCAGACCTTGAGGTGTTCACCGACACTGTACTGTGCTACATTAAGAACTGCACAGATATTGTAAAAGTGGAGAAACACATTTGGGTCTATCCCAATCAGAAGCCCTGGATGACCAGAGATCCAGGTCAACATGGAGATCCAGGTCCAGCAGCTGCTAAAAGAAAGGAACACCGCCTTTGGATCGGGTGACAGGGCTCTTCTACAGCGTGGCATAGGCGAACCTAAAGAGAGGCATTGGGAAGGCCAAGTTGGACTACAGGAGGAGGATTGAGGACCACCTGAGCAGCAACAACAGCAGACAGGTGTTGCAGGGAGTCCAGCATATCACCAACTACAGAACCAACCTTGGAGCTGCCGATGGTGATGCCTGACTGGCAGAGGAGCTGAACCAGTTTTTTCAATTCCAGAAGCAGCCATGCTACTGTCAGTGGTCCGCAACAACCCCATCCTCACGGTGGAGGAGTGTATGATGAGGCGCACTCTGCGAGCTGCCAACTTGACTAAGGCATATGGTCCTGACTGCTCTCTGGACATGTGCTAAGGGACTGTGCAGACCAGCTGGCTGCGGTCTTCACTAGGATCTCCAACCAGTCTCTGTTCCAGACCATTGTCCTATCCTGCCTGAAGTCCTCCACCATAGTCCCTCTGCCCAAAAAACAACCATCACTGCCCTCAATGACTACCGGCCAGTAACACTCACCCCCGTGGTGATAAAATGCTTAGAGAAACTGGTCCGGAGTCACATCATGTAATTCATCGCTCCCACCTTTGACATCCACCAGTTTGCGTACAGGGCAGCAGGTGCGCTACGCTCGGCTGCTCTTCATAGACTTTACTTTTACTTTTAACACCATCCTCCCCTATAGACTGGTGTCCAAACTATCACACTTGGGACTTCCACACTCCAACTGTTTTTGGATAAAGGACTTCTTGACAGAATGCACACAGAGGTTCAAAGTGGGCCCCATCTCCACAACCCTCAGCCTCTGGCTCCCCACAGGGTTGGCTGCATAGTCCCCTGCTCTATATTCTATATAACTCCACCCCCACCCACCACAGGAACACTATGGTCACATTTGCACATGACACCATAGTGGTGGTGTGGATCTCTGTAGGTGGACACATCCCCCCCAGAGACGAGGTGATGCAGTTGACGGTGTGGTGCAGAGACAATAATCAGTTGCTCTATACAAAAAAGACTAAGGAGTGCATTGTGAATTTCAGGAAGAAGAAAACAGACATTCAGCCAATTTTCATTAACAGACTGTATCAAACTTCTGCTTTCTGGGAGTTAACATCATGGAGGACTTGCCCTGGGGTGCAAACTCAGTTGAGTTGGTGAAGAAGGCCCAGCAGAGACTTTACTTCCTAAGAGTCCTCAGGAAGAATAATACCCCCCGAAAAGTGCTGGTGTCCTTTTACTGCTGCTCTATAGAGAGTCTACTGACCTACTGTCTGTAGGAGCTCTTCAGGGTCATCAAGGTCGTACAGAAATCGTCGGCTGCCCCAACACAGTTCTCAATGGAACAGGAAAGCACAAAACATAGTGCAGGACTCATCACACCCTGGAAACCGAATGTTTGAACTACTGCCATCAGGCAGATGATACAGGACTCTCAAAACAAGAACAAACAAATTAAATACTGCCAAAAATTAATTCACAAATGCAGTTTACAGTCACTTTACTTTTACGAGTGCAATATTGCTGAATGAATGTCTGAGTGTGTCTTTTGTTTTTTTTTATGTTTATATATTTTATTACCTGTCTTGCACTGAATAAGGACTGCACATTTCACTGAACTGTTACAATGACAACAAAAATATTCTATTCTTTTCTATTCTAGCAGTAGTAGCTGAGCTTGTACATTTACACACCATAAATATGGAGTCCAGGTCTGTTTGATGCTGCCGGGCAGACTGACCACTGGGAACCTTTAAGCTCTGCTGATCAACTCTGTGGAGAAAATATTCATTTTAATTATTAAATAATAATTTAATGTCATTTCACTTCAAGAATGGAGTGATGGAACAGGACCTGTTCTCAGGTGATCCAGATAGTTCCAAATACACCAACACCCTTAGATTAAGTCAGCACCAATAATGGATCATGCTTTTCTGCAGCCCCCTTCTAGCACTCGGAGATATTAGATCCCAGAAACACTAAAGGTTTCCACAGCAGTCACCGTGGTGATGGCCATCCATTGTTCAGCCTGCATCTGAAGGCTGACACTGTTAGTTTCTCTAGATGTCTCTGCAGAATCTCAAGCTTGTTCTAAAACTGAATGCTGAAGACAAAATGTTTTTATTCTGAAGAATCCATTATTCCACTGCACATCTCCCGGCCATTTACACACCTAATGTTACTGAAATGGTCCAATTTTATAAACACCTGGGAAGTTGGCTCGACAGCGGTGTCTTTTAAACATCATGTGGAGCAACTGGCACAGAAACTAAAGATAAGAATGGGTATCTTATGTCAGAATAAAGACGGTTTGTGTCTTGAGGAAAATTATTGTACAATCAATAGAGCTGAGCCGGATACTCCGCTGAAGTATCTGGTACGGATAAAGTACTTTTGCCGAGTACGAGTATGAGTAATACGAGTCAATATCTCAATTCAATTCAATTCAATTTTATTTATATAGCGCCAAATCACAACAACAGTTATCTCACAGCGCTTTTCATAAAAGAGCAGGTCTAGACCGTACTCTGTGATGATATTTACAGAAGCCCAACAGTTCCCACCAAGAGCAAGCACTAGGCGACAGAGGCAAGGAAAAACTTCCTTTTAAGAGGCAGAAACCTCGAGCAGAACCATGGCTCAGGGTGGGCGGCCATCTGCCTCGACCGGTTGGGGTGAGAGAGAGAGAGAGAGAGAAAGAGAGAGAGAAGAGAGTGAAAGAGAGAGAGAGAGAGAAAGAGAGAGAGAGAGAGAGAGAGAGAGAGATGTAAGGAGAGAGAGAGGGGAGGGAGGCAGCCTACACAATATACACACAGAGGTACAGACAGTAAAGGTAACGTTGCTATAAACTAAATGAAAAATGGTACAGATATTTATAATAGTGTTAATGGTAACCATCGTAATGTTAATGATTATAATAACAATAAGACTAGCAACAATAGTCGTTGCAGCAGAGGGTGTCGAGCAGGAACACGGGGGCAGCAGGCGACCCGCAGCCACAGATCCAGACTCCACAGCTCCAGAGCCAGAAAACCTGCAGGAAGTGATAGGAGGAGAGAGGAGAGAGACGAGAAAGCACAAGACTACCAGAAAGGGGAGAAGTTGTGTTAGTAACATGCAATAATGGGATAAGGTTGCATACAGAGGGAGAGAAAGTAGAGGAGAGAGGAGCTCAGTGCATCATGGGAAATCCCCCGGCAGTCTAGGCCTATAGCAGCATAACTAAGGGATGGTTCAGGACTCACCTGAGCCAGCCCTAACTATAAGCTTTATCAAAGAGGAAAGTCTTAAGCCTACTCTTAAATGTGGAGATGGTGTCTGCCTCCTGAACCCAAACTGGAACCTGGTTCCACAGGAGAGGAGCTTGATAGCTGAACGCTCTGGCTCCTAGTCTACTTTTGGAGACTCTAGGAACCACAAGTAACCCTGCATTCTGGGAGCGCAGTGCTCTGGTGGGGTAGTAAGGTACTATGAGCTCTTTAAGATAAGATGGTGCCTGACCATTAAGAGCTTTGTAGGTAAGAAGAATGATTTTAAATTCTATTCTGGATTTTACTGGAAGCCAATGCAAAGAAGCTAAAACAGGAGAAATGTGATCTCTTTTCCTGGTTCCTGTCAGAACACGTGCTGCAGCATTCTGGATCAGCTGAAGAGTCTTAATGGACTTTTTGAGCAGCCTGATAATAAGGAATTGCAGTAATCCAGCCTAGAAGTAACAAATGCATGGACTAGTTTTTCTGCATCATTTTTAGACAGGATGTTCCTGATTTTCGCAATATTACGTAGGTGAAAAAAGGCGGTCCTTGAAATTTGCTTAATGTGGGACTTAAACGACATGTCCTGATCAAAGATAACTCCAAGATTCCTCACAGTGGTGCTGGAGGCCAAGGCGATGCCATCCAGGGAAACTATATCTTTAGATAATGCGTCACGGAGGTGCTTAGGCCCCAGAACAATAACTTCAGTTTTATCTGAGTTTAACATTAGAAAATTACAGGTCATCCAGGTTTTAACATCCTGAAGGCACATTTGAAGTTTAGCTAACTGATGAGTTTCATCTGGCTTGATCGATAGATATAACTGAGTATCATCTGCATAACAATGAAAGCTTATGGAATGTTTCCTGATAATATTGCCTAAAGGAAGCATATATAAAGTGAAGAGGATTGGTCCAAGGACAGATCCTGAGGAACTCCATGAGTAACTTTGGCGTGCATGGAGGACTCATCGTTAACATGTACAAACTGAAATCGATCTGATAAATAGGACTTAAACCAGCTTAGAGCGGTTCCTTTAATGCCAATGAAATATTCCAGTCTCTGCAATAGGATCTGATGGTCAATGGTATCAAATGCAGCACTAAGATCTAATAAAACCAGTACAGAGACAAGTCCTTTGTCTGATGCAATAAGGAGGTCATTAGTAATTTTCACCAGTGCTGTCTCTGTGCTATGATGAGCTCTAAATCCTGACTGAAAATCCTCAAATAAACTATTGCTCTGTAGAAAGTCACACAGCTGTTTAGCAACTGCTTTCTCCAGAACCTTAGAGAGAAATGGAAGGTTAGATATAGGTCTATAGTTTGATAAAACATCCGGATCAAGTTTGGGCTTTTTCAGAAGAGGTTTAATTACAGCTACTTTAAAGTACTGTGGTACATAGCCTGTTGATAAAGATAGATTGATCATATCTAGTATAGAGGTGCTGACTAAGGGTAAAACATCTTTAAGCAGCCTAGTCGGGATGGGGTCTAAGAGGCAGGTTGATGGTTTAGATGAAGAAATTATTGAAGTTAGTTGGTAAAGATTGAGGGAAGCAAAACAGTCTAAACATGTATCTGGTTCTACAGCTGTTTCTAAGGTTCCTGAGTTAAGAGATAAGTCGGTGCCAATTGAGGGCAGGTCTTGGTGAATTTTGTCTCTAATAGCTAAAATTTTATCATTAAAGAAGCTCATGAAATCGTAACTACTGAGAGCTATGGGAATACTTGGCTCAATAGAGCTGTGACTCTCTGTCAGCCTGGCTACAGTGCTGAAAAGAAACCTGGGGTTGTTCCTATTTTCCTCTATTAATGACGAGTAGTACGCTGCTCTGGCATTACGGAGGGCCTTCCTATAAGTTTTAAGACTATCTTGCCAAATTAAACGAGAATTTTCCACTTTGGTGGAACGCCAATTCCTCTCAAGTTTCCGTGATATTTGCTTTAATTTGCGAGTTTCAGTATTATACCATGGAGCTAACCGTCTTTGTTTTAGTATTTTCTTTTTTAGAGGGGCTACAGAGTCCAGTGTCATTCGCAGCGAGCCTGCAGCACTATCAACAAGATGATCGATTTGGGAGGGACTGAAATTAGCATAGGAGTCCTGCGTTACTTTGTGACTAGATAATGTATTTAGAGCTGATGGAATCGCATCCTTAAATTTAGCTATAGCACTATCAGACAGACATCTTGTATAGAAATTTTTGCCCAATGGCGAGTAGTTCAGCAATACAAACTCAAAAGTTATCAAACAGTGGTCGGACAAAGAGGGATTCTGTGGGAACACCACTAAATGTTCAATTTCAATACCATACACCAAAACAAGGTCGAGGGTGTGTTAAAACAGTGAGTCGGTTCATGAACACTCTGAGAGAAGCCGATGGAATCTAACAGAGAGATAAACGCAGTACTAAAGCTGTCACTCTCAACATCCACATGAATATTAAAATCCCCTACAATAATAACTTTGTCCGTTTTAAGGACTAAAGTTGACAAAAACTCTGCAAATTCAGATAAGAATTCAGAATACAGGCCAGGTGCTCGGTACACTATAACGAAGAGAATTGGTTGCAGTGATTTCCAACTTGGGTGCGAAAGACTAAGAACAAGACTTTCAAATGAGTTATAGTTTGGTTTAGGTTTAGAGCTGATTAGTAGGCTAGAGTCGAAGATAACTAACTCCACCTCCTCGGCCTGTGCCTCGAGGAATCTGAGTATTAATATGACTGGGAGGGGTGGATTCATTTAGGCTAACATATTCTCCATCACCCAGCCAGGTTTCAGTAAGACAAAATAAATCAATATCATAATCTGATATTAGTTCATTTACTAGTACACCTTTAGAAGAGAGAGATCTGATGTTTAAGAGTCCACATTTAACTCTCCTATTTGTTTGCACTATTGCTCTTGTGGTTTTAATTTTTATAAGGTTTTTATGCACAGCTCCTCTTCTGTTTACCTTTTTAAATAATTTCGATGGTCGGGGGACAGACACCATCACTATAGGATTTTCACTAAGTAACTCCTGAAATGGAGGAGCAGAGAAGTGTGTTAGACTGCGACTCTGCGTAGGGTTTTGGGTGGGTAACTGCTGAAAAGAAGGGCAGAGAAGTGTTAGACTGCGACTCTGCGTAGGGTTTTGGGTGGGTAACTGCTGAAAAAGAAGGGCAGAGAAGTGTGTTAAACTGCGACTCTGCCTCCTGGTCTCAACTCTGGGTTGTCATGGATTTGGTCCACTAATAAACTTGGCCAGATTTCTAGAAATGAGAGCTGCTCCTTCCCAAGTGGGATGGATGCCGTCTCTCCGGATCAGACCAGGTCTTCCCCAGAAAGTCTGCCAATGATCTACAAAGCCCACATCGTTTGCTGGACACCACCTCGACAACCAGCGGCGGAATGACGACATGCGGCTATACATGTCATCACTGGTCAGATTTGGCAGGGGTCCAGAGAAAAGTACGGTGTCCGACATTGTTTTTGCATATGTACACACCGACTCAACATTAATCTTAGTGACCTCCGATTGGCGTAACCGGGAGTCATTACCGCCGACGTGAATAACAATTTACTGTATTTACGTTTATCCTTAGCCAGCAGTTTCAAATAAGACTCAATGTCGCCCGCTCTGGCCCCAGGGATGCACTTAACTATGGCCGCTGGCTTCGCCAACTTCACGTTTCTCAAAATGGAGCTGCCAATGATCAGAGTTGGTTTCTCAGCGGGTGTGTCGCTGAGTGGGGAAAATCTGTTAGAAACGTGAACAGGTTGATGATGCCTCGTGGACTTTGAATGCTTACGACTATTCCTCCTTCGGACAGTCACCCAGCCCCCCTTTCCTGGCTGCACAGGAGATGCCGGAGGACGGCTACCAGAGACTAACTCAGGCCGTTCCGCACCGACTACCGGGGACTGGCTAGCTACAGTAGCTAAAGACTACCAAGATCTACCAGGTGCGGAGCCGGACTTCTAAATCACTGAGCCTCGCCTCCATGTCTATAAATAAACTACACTTATTACATGTACCATTACCGCTAAAGGAGGCAGAGGAGTAACTAAACATCTGACACACCGAGCAGGAGAAAGTAGGAGAGAGAGAGGGAGAAGGAGAAGCCATCGCTAGCTGCTAAGCTAAAGTCGCTAACGGCTAAGCTAAATTACTGTAGCGTCAGTTACCAAAACTTTAGAACAACTATGAGATTGAACAGCAGTCACTAAAAGATGGAAAGAACTGTGAGTGCTTAGGCAAAATTACTGTAAGAATAAGTGTTTAGTGGACAGTTGGCTGCTGTAATCAAACAAATGTAACTGTTATTTAGCGAGAGCAGCACAACACGGTACCAACACACAAGCACCGGAAACGGAAATGAGTCGACACGCTTACCGCAATACGTCAGCACGTTCCTCGGACGAAGAAGAAGCAACAATATCTGTGCTCGGATTGAATAAAAATCCTCATTGGGTAGCTGACTGTGTCTGCGTTCTGTGATAGTAGTCACAGCGCCCCTCCCCGACACACATACAGATTTATTGTGTTGCTGTGTCCCGCTCCGCTCTGCTCAGAAGGTCGCTGACAGTGTGAATGTCTAAATGAACAGGTGTAGTCTATAATAATGCGTTGATAAAAAGGGTTCTCATGAGCTGTATGAAAATATCAGCCTTATTCTTTCAGCTCGGCTGTGTGTCGGCGTTTCAACATTAAAAGACTCGGGCTTACTTTAAAAAAAACTTGTCGTCACTTCAAAAATTAGATTAATTTATTTAACACACTCAAAAGTGTCCAAACATTGTTCTATATCCCTACCAAACTGCTCATAATATTCAGCCTCACATAAGAAAAATAAAATCTATTTATTTTAACGGCTGCGTCAGGGTGTGTGAAACGGACTGGGAGCAAATAAAAAATATTAAACACATTTAAAGGCAGTAAGTAGGCTGATCCTGCTGTACTGTAAAAACCTGCAGGCAACATTAGCCTGAGGCTTTTAATCAGTCTCTGCAGGATTATTTTATATGATATTATAGTCAAGAGTTTCTCCACATCACTGCTGCAAACATAAAGCAGCCTATTGGCTAAAACAGTCTGTGGGATTTCCTACAGATGGTGACGTCATTTTCCAAGAGAGCTGATTGGTCAGTAGGCGGCGTTTTCACAGAGTTGATCTCTTTTCTGGAACAGAACCTGCTCCGGAGCAGGTTAGCCTTCAGCATAAGATACCATGGAGATCTACCCCGGTAAGAAGTGAACCACTCCTGGTACTGAAAACCCAGAGTTCACCCTGAAGTTACCTGGATAAGCTCAAATCCTGCTTCATGGTACAGGCCTCTGGTGTGGAAATAAAATTTAAAAAAAAGAACCACAAAAAAAAAAAATCACACCGATCATAAAAAAAATTCAAAGTTAAAAAAAGAAAGTTATGTTGAGTATGAAAACTCTTGTTCATTACATTTTACTTCATAATTGCAATGTGTTGTATTCATTATTGCAAAAAGCTCAGTGCTGATGCCTTCATGTAGTTTTCTAATCAGCAATAAATATAACAATTTCTGATCAACCCATATCAATTGCATGCTTAAAATAACATACCGGTTAAAGCCCCGCCCATTTCAAGACAACCCGACCCACTTCTGGGTTAAATTCCACCCACTTCCGGGTTAGGCCCCAGTCCGAGTACAGATACAGATAATTCATATGGTTAACACAGATACATATACAGGTAGAGATAATGCTGTACTCGCTCATCCCTAACAATCAATCATCATGTCTGTGACTTTATTTTCTAGCTGCTCATTCTAGCCTAAAACATCTTGATGCAGTTCATCATTGTGCTTCGTGTTTCATTACAGGAGATGAAGATTGTCCTCATCAGTGTGAACCATATAAAGCAGCAGGCCGGTCTTAAAACTTGAGTGTCTCGTCCAACCGGCTGATTGTAAAATTTTAACTTCAAATCTATTTGGTAAAGTTTGTGACTGTTTCTGCTGTAACAAGATGCTGCAGATGTTCTTCCAGTCTGTGATGACCAGTGGTGGTCGTCAAACTGTGTAACTTATCCTGCTGTGTTGCAGTGTGGACATCCTTCCAAGACCTGATACCTTATACAAATACATTTTGCCTGTGACAGTCAAAAAAACAACACAAACAATAAGATTCTCACTTTTGTTCAGCGCGGTTATGTCCAGCTTTGAAGTCAACATGGAGATCCATAGACCAGTCGCTCTTCATGGACATACCGCTGGGTTCAGGAGGGCCTGGTCTCTGGTGATGGATCCTTGTGTGAACAAAGACTTCAATAAGCGACTTTATTGTCTCAGTGATCCTTTTAAGAGGATTATGAAGCAGTAAAAGTACCAGACAGCGGGACTACTGAGAGGCTGTTCTGCTTGTCATTAGCATTTAGAGGACAGTTATGGACTCTTTTGTTTGTATAAAAAGATAAAAAGTCAGGGGCCGAAGTCATTATGGGTCATCTTCTGAGGAAATCTTTATGTGATGTCGTACCAGATTTGTTAACTGTGCAACCAATAGTTGTAGAAATATTTCACTCTGGACCAACAGACAGACAATACCAGCACTACAGCAGCACCTCTAGTTTGTTCTATAAAGTCCAAGGCATCACATGGCTCACAGATATTACTGGGGCCACTTTGCCAGAATAACTGCAGCTCAGCAGCAGGGAGCTTGGTAACAGTGTCTGTTTGCATCATATCCAGATTAAAGCTACCTGAGTAAGAATGTTGGACCCTGACACCAATTAAACACAACACAGGGAAGCTATTGGCAGAGAGCTCATGTTAGCACAGACAACACCCTGTCAGCAGTGTTCATAGTTCAGTGTTCATAGTTCATATTTCATCAGTAGAATCTCTCTCCAGTGCGTTATGTGGATTATCCAGAGGAGCAGGAACACTGTTTCTGAAAGTGATGTCACTGTTAAACGTCACCTTTGAAAGTTGTGAACTTCACTAAACTTCCTTCACCTCCATGCACTGAGGTGAAACCTCAGGCAAATATCTCCAAACCTGAACTAATACACCAAAACTGTCCGACTGAAAGATCCCAAATTTTGGGTGAACAGACCATATAAATCGCTGCCCTCCTGTCTGTAACTGATTTGTTCCTTTTTGCTGCAGTTAATGTTTGTGTGAAAAGTGAGAAAATTAAAGAACATGAAAAATTTTACATTTTATATTCTTACCGTTGATCAGCAGAGTGGTGTCCACTTTTGACCTCAGAAGTTTCAAACATCAACTGGAGATCCTTCACTGACTTACGGCTTGGTGCAGGTCCACGTTCACTTCCAGGTCCAGGTCCAGGTCCAGGAGAGTCTGGTCTCTGCTGACGGATCCTAGTATGAACAAAGACTTGACAAATCAGTTGGGTCCTCAAAGCAGATTTAATACATATATTTATGTGTTGGTGTCTCTGGTAGTGAGTTGTCGGCTGAATCTGCAGTTTCTCTGTGTTACAGAGTTTATAGCAACTTTCAGTTGTTGTTTATCTGTCTGGCTGCAGCTTTACTGTGAGCAGCTCAAAAATATATTTTATTCACCTCAATTGTCCTTTGAAAATAAGAGGAGGCTCCATTGAATGGTCACTCTTCATGGACACACAGCTGGGTCCAGGTCCAGGTCCAGGTCCAGGTCCAGCAGAGTCTGGTCCCTGCTGCTGCTCTGGGCTTCAACACAACACACACAGAGCTTTGAGAGTGAATAATGATGGTGGAGTGATTTGAGTCCTGGACAGTTAGAGATCCTCATCTCACCTCTGAGCTTTGGTCTGGCTGTCATGTTCCCCACACAGAGTGCTTTTAGAGGGAGGGACTCCCTCCTCTCTGTCCTCACACTGATTCATAGCAGAGCCCACACCTTCACACAAACACAACAACATGCTGAGAGAGCTGCACTCATTCATTACAACAAGCTTTACATCTCAGATCATCACTGCTCTCTACCACAGTGTCATTCTTCATTCCACCACCTGATGGAGCCAAACGGAAGACATTATTTCAAACATTTCAACTGTGGACAAAAGAAACTACATTAGATTCATTTCTGTACAGCTGTGCAGTCTTCAGAGAAAAAAGAGAAACTGTCCCCAAAACCTTAAAAAGTCCTTTAATCTGAATAATTTACTTTCCACCTGAACTTCACCCCAAAGAACAACAGAAAAAGGAGGTGTGGTGAGAAAATGAAATATATAACTTTGTACTATGTTGCCAGAAATGTAATAAGTTAAATTTTTCATAACCTACAATAAAATCATGTTTTTAAGATATATATAAACTCAGGTATGTGTCATGTTGAGGGACTGTTTCATATTAATGAGGTATAAGGATGGTTCATATAGTCTAAGAGGAGATGTCAACAGTATTTCTGAGACATTGTTAAAGTTTTCAACTCTTTATTACCTGCTAATCACAAACCACGCCAACTGTAAACACCTTTAAACTCTTTTTGCAGAACTGTGGACAGTGAACATCCCTTACTAACTGAATAACTCTGGTTGTTAAATGTTACGTCAGTGTTAACCTGACTGAACAGGCTGACAATAAAACTAACAGCCCACACCTGGCAACAAGAAAAGCTTTCGCACAAACAAACTGTTTTAAAGAGTTTGTGTTCACTTTCTGTCAGATCTGTCACTGCAGAATCACATTACTTTAATAAACAGTCAGTGTTGAGTTCAACGCTATTAAAACTATTTTTATTGATCAGATTGGTTTGCTGTCATACCCTTGCTAGCTAGCGATAGTGTTACTAGTGTAATTGCAGCAGATTTCTGATCAATAAATTAATAGATTCCAAAGCATCTATTACAACAACATAATTTACTTTTGATGGTCACAACTAAATGGAATTTACAAGCAATTTATTTATAATTTTATTTTAAAAAAGTATTGGCAATGCAGTCTACGATTCCGATACATATATTATTATATATTCATAACTATTTTATAGAACTACCAGTCAGTGAAAACTACACAGTGCTAGCTTAGCATGAGTGGAACAATGGATGAAAGAAAACTCAAATATTGAAAGTCTGAACAAAAACATGTACTGCAGTACTGTTGTTTTGCATTACATCACACAGATGTTCCTATTTTTCTGGTCACTTAGTGTGACGTACTAACAGGCTGAATATTCTTTTCTTGTTTCTCATTCGTTTCACTAACACAGTGAACAAAGTGACACAACACATCACTACTACCACCATCTATACTGTTCTCAGATCATTTTAACAGCCGCTGACACAAACATGATGGAAACTGTTCATTACCTTCTGATGGTGGAAATAATCTGCCTGAAGCCGATGAGTGAAGGTGAAATTAATCGGCAGTTTCAACCAGGAAACCAAGCAGAGAAAGAACAAACATGGAGCTCACAGCAGGAGCTTTTCAGAGATCTGTTGATTCACATCCAGTCTCAACTCTCTGGATTCATCTTCAAATGAAGAGTTCTTTAAGGAAATGCGATCACAGAGCAGCTCTGAACTTTGGAAGGATCATCATGTCAAACAGTAACAGACAAAAAAACCTTGCTGGATCATAAAGGTCTGATGATAGTTTGATCCTTGCTGCCTTTTATTTCCCAACAAGGAAATGTAAAGTGGCAAGGTTCCATTTATTACTGCAGTCTGTTGTATCCATCATCATATGTTGTATTCACACAGACACAAACAGTGAGGACACAGCGTGTTTAGGACAGCGTGTATGAGGACAGAAGGTTTACCAGGACAGCGTGTATTTTATTTATTTATTTGGCAGGGACAATGCAAACAAACACAGTGTCAAAACAAAGCTTGTCACTGAAGTGCTGCATATAAAATTTGTAGCTAATGCTAATTTTCAACTCCTGTCCCTGTTTGGGCTTTTATACACAATAGAATTTACATACTTCACTACTTCAATTTAAAAAAATAATATAAACATGACATGTAATCATGCATATCATATACAACTCTTACCTACTTACAATAATTAAAAATGAGTTCACTTTTGGTTTGTCTTTAACCAGTTTTTAAGCCTGGAAGTAAACATTTTAAAGACAGGTACAGTCTTGATGTCAGATGGTAATGAGTTCCAGAGTTTAGAGCTCTTCACAGAGAAGGTCGTCTGTCCAAAGCTGGTCCTGCAGTATGGTATGTTACAGTCATGATTTGTGGAGCTCCTAGTGACTCGAATGCTGTTTTGTCTCTCAACAAATAAACTTAGCGGGTCAGGTGCTAAATGATTAATGCGTTGTAAATCAATTTAAGGAAGCAAAGATTGCTAAAGCTATCAAAATTCATTGAATTATATTTCTTAAGGATGGTACAGTAATGAGGAGTATTGTTTTTTTATCCATAATTTTTATTGCTCGGTTGTAGAGAGAGCCTATGCATTTGAGCGGTTTGTGCCCATGCTGTCATGCAGTATGATATATGAGGAAAAAATCATAGCATGCATGTACAGCAGGGCTGCCTGGTTTGGCATGTAGCTTCTGATTAGTTTGAAACAGTTGAGATTACTTTGTATTGTTTTTAAGATTTTCTTTATATGCTTGTCAAATTTAAGTTGAGGATCTAAAACTAATCCTAGATATTTAAATTCTGTAACTGGATGAATGTCTTTATTTTGTAAATTAATATTAAATCTTTCTTTTAAATCCAGTTTTTTAATCGAAAAGCAGATGTTTTTGAGAGATTTAGAACTAACTGATTTTGAATGAGCCACTGTTGGATGTCAGACATACTGGTGAACAGTACAGCTGCAGCCTGCTCAGGTGACTTGGCGGGTGCATAAAGAACTGCATCATCCGCATAGAGCTGACAACTGGCACCTGAGCAGTGCAGAGGTAAGTCATTTATAAAGAGACTAAACAGCAAAGGGCCAAGTATAGAGCCTTGCGGAATGCCCATTTTTATGTTTGAGAGTGCAGATATGTCTTGATCAACTTTAACACACTGTACTCTAGACTGGAGATAAGATGTAAACACAACACTGCCTCATCTGAGAAATTAAAATTTAACATTTTAGATAAAAACAAACTGTGGTTGACCGTATCGAATGCCTTTTTAAGATCGATAAATACAGCTCGCACCACATTGCCCTTGTTCCAGGGACTTATTTACATTTTGAATAAAACAGCAGTTTGCTATTTCAGTTGAATAACCTGGTCTAAACCCATACTGGTGTGGATGGAGGAGCTGTCTGGCTTCTAAGTGGTCAATCAGTTGCGCTGCTACAACTTTTTCAATTATTTTAGATAAAACTGGTAAAATCGATATAGGGCGATAGTTGCTTTGAACACAGGGATGATTATTCCTTTTTGCCTTGCACTGGGAAATGTACTGGTTCTTATGGAAAGATTAACAAGATGGGTCAATGGTTTGACAAGAACATCTTTATACTTTTTACGAAAACAGCTATTCATCCCAAAAATGTCATTAGATTTGGAATTTGAAAGTTTATTGATTATTTCTGCAACTTTTGTATCTGGCACCTCTTTAATATAAAAGGAATCTGTTGAGGTGACTCTCAGTGAATGATTGAGATAATCGACTGGCTGGAAATCTTTTGATAATTCTTCAACTGATTGCAAAATATGAATTGAATTCATCAGCCATAGTGGCACTATCGGTTATACTATTGCCATTGATCAAGTTCTGTAATCTTTTTGTGTTTATTTGATTTTTTAGTCAGTTTAAATGCTTCCAAAGTGAATTACTGTTGCCTTTAGCACTGTTAATTAGTTGAGTGTAATATGTGGCTTTTGCTTTCCGCAGCTCAAATACAACTTTATTACTTAAACTTCTGTAAATCAAGAGATCAGGAATAAGTTTAGATCTTAGAGATGTTATCAAAGCTAAATCTCGCATTTTCATGAGTTTTCATATTTCATTATTTATCCAGGGCACCGTGGATTCTTTTTGTTTAGATTTTATTTGCTTTGTAAATTTTTCTATCAGACTTGTAATAGCTATGGTCATGGAACCACAACACTCCTCTACCTCATCTAGTGTCATAATTTGTTCCCAGTTTATGTTTTTAAGTTCCCTTTCAAATTGCACAATTTTACTTTTAGGAATAATGAATTGTGTTTTTTCATGATCAGGTTTACCAAAGTACTACAGGCGCTTCTTCGTCAGTTTCCTAAACGTCAAAGTCATGTTGTGGTCCGAGAGTCCAGTAATCAAATTGTAAGCACTCATCATTAAAAAACACTGTAAACTACAAAGGGCATGAGTGGAGCCCAACAACCCACTCCTGCCCTCAGCAGCCATCTTGGCCATGGGGACAAAAGGTTTACCAGCACAGCATGGTAACCATTAGATTGGTAACCATTGGTGAGCAGGATGTGAGGGGTTGGAGCATGTATGAGGACAGAAGGATTACCAGGTCAGTGTGTATGAGGACAGAAGGTTTACCAGGACAGCGTGTATGAGTATAGAAGGTTTACCAGGACAGCGTTTATGAGGACGATTTGTTTACCAGGACAGCGTGTATGAGGACAGAAGGTTTACCAGGTCAGCGTGTATGAGGACAGAAGGTTTACCAGGACAGCGTGTATGAGGATAGAAGGTTTACCAGGTCAGTGTGTATGAGGACGATTTGTTTACCAGGACAGCGTGTATGAGGATAGAAGGTTTACCAGGACAGCGTGTATGAGGACGATTTATTTATCAGGACAGCGTGTATGAGGACGATTTGTTTACCAGGACAGCGTGTATGAGGACAGTATGTTTACCAGGACAGCGTGTATGAGGACAGAAGGTTTACCAGGTCAGTGTGTATGAGGACAGAAGGTTTACCAGGACAGCGTGTATGAGTATAGAAGGTTTACCAGGACAGCGTTTATGAGGACGATTTGTTTACCAGGACAGCGTGTATGAGGACAGAAGGTTTACCAGGTCAGCGTGTATGAGGACAGAAGGTTTACCAGGACAGCGTGTATGAGGATAGAAGGTTTACCAGGTCAGTGTGTATGAGGACGATTTGTTTACCAGGACAGCGTGTATGAGGATAGAAGGTTTACCAGGACAGCGTGTATGAGGACGATTTATTTATCAGGACAGCGTGTATGAGGACGATTTGTTTACCAGGACAGCGTGTATGAGGACAGTATGTTTACCAGGACAGCGTGTATGAGGACAGAAGGTTTACCAGGTCAGTGTGTATGAGGACAGAAGGTTTACCAGGTCAGCGTGTATGAGGACAGTATGTTTACCAGGACAACATGTATGAGGACAGTATGTTTTCAGAGGATGATCCCACATTCCCATCCTCCCTGATGAAAAGAGACATTTCTAAATAACATGCAGGTTTGACCACAAATGGGACTTTTCCAGTCCAGTATCTGAAGACTTACACTGAGTTCAGAAGAATCCAGAGTGAAGCAGTTTGATACGGTACAGAGATTAACATAGATAGCTCTCAAACACTAAACAAAGATGTTTCTAAAGAGAAGCTGCTGGACTGTTCAGAGCTGTTTGATGAAATAGACAGACTGCAGAATTATCCACGTCATCACAAAGAGGGTTTAACTGTCTCTCTTCAGAAGTCCATGTTTGGGATCTTTGTGACCAGCAAATGTGTCGGCTCAAGTACATGTTCATATGTCACTGTTGATCTGACACCATGTGCAGGAATTGACCCTACGCTAAGCCCCACCCCCCCTTAGTTACTGTTGCTAAGTCTGACAAACTCTTGGCGCTGCCACAGTCTATTACTGCACTCCCCAGAGAAATGTCAAATTTGTTGGAAAAAGAGATCTCAGAAAGAAGCAGACAGTTTTGCTGTTGCATTATACATTTGAAGGTTGTATTCAGGCTGTCAAACTGACTCAGAGGGACATGAAAAAAATTAGAGATAGAAGCTAAAGCATACTACTCACACAGTACAAGTTTGACCAGATCTTAGAAAATTACAGCCAAAAAAAGCTAGAAAATGACTCTTTTTGCATTAGAGTCAATGGAGCGCAGCCACGAAATTGTTGGACCTCAGTTAGAGCGAGTCCTATGCGCTGAGATTGGCCAGCTGTGTATTTGGGGCATTAGTGAAGGGTCAATTGTACATACAAGTCACGACCATGTAACTGAGAATGTTCCAGAGGACTGATTGTTCTCTGAAATCTTTCCAAGGTTTCTTCATTCAGTGGGTGCTCAGCTTCAGGAACCAGAACTGTTCCAGTCTTCTGGCGGTACAGAACTCTTACAGTCACTGCCTGGGTCCTGAAGCTCCTTCAGATTCAGAAACACATGATGCAATATTTACATCAGTCAGGACTGGGTACTTTTAGAAATACTGTTCTATTTGTACTTTTACGATTAATACGCAAACACTACAACAAGTGTACTTTGTTTTCATCTTATTATTACAGAAGTTACTAACTCGACTTCTCCCCTTTCCGGTAGTCTTGTGCTTTCTCGTCCCTCTCCTCTCTCCTCCTATCATTTCCTGCAGTTTTTCTGGCTCTGGAGCTGTGGAGTCTGGATCTGTGGTTGCGGGTCACCTGCTGCCCCCATGTTCCTGCTCGACACCTTCTGCTACAATTATTGCTGTTTCTAGTGCTATTATTATTATAATCAATAATATTAATATAATTATCAGTACCATTATTCATTTGCTGTTTGTATTTCTGTGTGGATATTGTGTGGGCTGCCCCCTCCCCCCTCTGTATATTTTTCCTACATGTATGATTGTTCATACATTTATATTTTATATTTATATCATATTGTATAATACCTGTGTGAGCAACATTTCCATCAGTTTTCGACAGACAATAAAGTTTAACAGTTTGTTCACAAGTTCGACCTTTCTAACACATTTTTAATATTCAAACAACAGATTTATATTTGTAAAAACAAGCAGGAAGTAAACATTAAACAAATACATATATCTGTGAACATCGACTCTATTTTTGTCATTGAATCTTTACTGAAGTGATTAAGAATCACTGCGTCAGTGTGTGTGTGTGTGTTTGTCGCTGCTTCTCTTGCTCAAAAATAATACGCATAACTCCAGCTACTCTGCGATTCTACTCCTTCTGCTTCACTAAGCTGGTTTTCTATGTTACGCTACTAGTTGGATTCATTTTCTCACACTCTGCAACTTTTCCTCTGTGTGCTCTGGTTACACTACGGGATCTGCTAAACCAGTGGCTTTTTCAAGCTGCTACACTACCTTGCAGAGTGGTCAACAGGCTACTTACAAAACTTGGCTTTGTTCTGACGATCCCCAAACTGCCAACAGCTGTAATTACCACTGACAACAGGCTTGATCCTCCACAGTAGTCTCTAGTTATAGTCTGTAGTTAGTTGTGGTGTAAGCAGTAAAAAATAATTAACAGACACTGACACATGCGCAGACGTTCTGCACTCTGATCAAATTTTACAATGTGGTAACAGCGTTTACTAGTTTAGTAGTAGTATTGATCACCATTTTTATTGCATACATACTCAGAAAAGTAATAAATATTGGTAAAAAATTTCAGTTTTGTGGACTGTGGTGCTCAGACTACCAGACGAACTCAGACTCTCTGAACAGCCTCACAACACATATCACAGGAAACCACATGATAACGCAACATAAAGAAGCAGCTAAAGCCAAAGCAGATCAGATCTGTTCCAAAAAACAGATGAATTTGCAGAAAGTAATTTTGCTGGACAGGAAGCAAACACATCATAAGCCCATTGATTTTAAGTGAATTAAATTTGAGTCTTGTTGTCATACTTACTCCCAGTCTTCATCATCCTCTTAGTCTTCACTGTCCACATCACTTCGTGCTACAACTTTCTTTCCTCAACCATGCAGGTAAATTCACCCCGACCACAAACCTCTAGCCAGAACTCATATTCAAAAACTTATTCACACCAGCTGCCTAAGTGATCTATTCAGTATTTTTCAAACTAAAACAGATTTATATTTGTAAAAACATGTAGGATGTTAACAAATATAATTGTTGAACATCGACTCTGTCTTTAAAGCTTCATTAAAGTGAATGAGAAGCTCTGCGGCCATCAGCAGCAACTAGATGCTGCTCCAAGAAAACTTTATGAAAGTGAAAAGCAAAGTCAACACAGTATAAACACAAGTTCAGCGCTGAGGAGATCATTTCACCATTTCTAAGAAAACACATTTCTGATATTAAAGGCACAATCAGTGAACCAGATGTTAACATAAAGTTAACCAACATTTAAACCACAGGACTGGAAGTTGAATGTGGTGTTGAAGGTGTGGAGGTGGATCAGTGTGTCAGAGGAGACTCTGTAGAAGGACAGAGAGCCAGCAGGACAGTCCACATACACTGCTACTCTGTTAGAGGAGGAGGAGGAGGAGGAGGAGGAGAGAGGGAGGACAGTTTCTCTGTTATTGTGACAGACAGAGTAACGACAATCAGAGAAGTACAGACTCCAGGACTGATCATTTCTTCCAAACACGCCGTCATTAATGTCTCCTCTCCTTCTGATTCCTCTGTAACTCACTGATATATCAACTTTTCCTCTCCACTCGACCTCCCAGTAACAGCGACCAGTCAGACCATCTCTACACAGCAGCTGTTCCCAGAAGTCAAATCTCTCTGGATGATCAGGATATGGCTGCTCCTCTCTCACCAGCGTCACCTTCCTGTTGTTGTCAGACAGTTTGAGGTATGTGTGTGCTGTGTTTGTGTCCAGTGTGAGTTCACAGAGATCTGATGGAGAGAACGAGACACAACACAGCAGCAGTTTATCATCAGACACATCTGAAGGTTTATTCTTTGTTTGTGTGCTGATGTTGTTCATTTCTATAAAGTTTAATGATGATGCATTTAGTCAGTAATGTTTGAATGAATAAATACCACAACTATCAACTTTGTATTGAAAGAGAAACTGACTGTGTGCTGTTTTGTCATCATGAGTCAGATTGAATCCACACTTACACTTCCTCACACCAGGTTTTAACCTCTGCTCTCCACCATGGTCCACCCTGGAGGAAGAAACACAGAGTGATTTTCTATCCAACATTAAACAGATTCAACTTGTATTGTGTAATTTATGTAATTTGTGTAATTTATATGTCAGAAACTGAGGGTGCTGTATGATGTAACGACTGTAAAGCGTTTTGAGACAAATATGGGATTTTGGACTTAATAATAGATCAAATAAATAAAATTGAATTGACTTCTATCGTTTTTCCATCCTTCTCCCGCTAGACATGACAGCTGCAGAAGCTTTGAAAACAGCAATACAGGGCACTGAATTTTTTTGAATATTTTGTTTACCAGACCACAAATTAAAGAATTAGGCTGAAAAAACGATCAATGCCAGAATGGAATGTTTCTGCTCTATGTTCTGTCTACTTCTAAAACGATCTGCATACAAAAGATTGTTTCAGCACATGTTCAGAAATAATCTCCATCCATACTAAGACACCTGAAAATGTAGACAGGAAGCAGAAGATCAGAAATTTCTTTGTGAAGATTTTAAAAGTAACGAGTCAAATTCATACTGATAATATATCTACCATTGTGCTCTTATAGTCACCTTCTCTTGTATTCTACTTTCACTATACTATGTCAGGGTTTAAGTATGTCTATGAACATCAGTAGTATATAAAGCGTGTGCATGTATTCTGTGCATGCACATAATGCTCGTAACAGTCATGCGTGAGGTGTGAAGAAAAAAAAAACATTTACGATATGTCCTGTCTTGTCCTCCTAAACCATTTTGTTAGGTCATAATATAGGAGCAGATTTTGAGGTCTGTGACTGGCTTTAACAACCTATTGTATACAAAGATAGTTTTGGTCAAGTATATATCAGACAGAGAGCGAGGAACAGGAAACTGTTCGGGGTGTATCTGGACTGCTACAACGGACAGATTTTTTCTTGCAGAGCAACACCTCCATTTTCGTAGTGATCCTGTCATAATCATGAACATCACAGGTAGGATTACGATGTCTGGATTCTTATTTGAGCAGAGAACAGTTCATCTTTATACAAGAGAGAGTGATGAAATGTTTCTTTGTGAAAGTATTAGTTTGTCCCCAAAGACGTACTTCAGAAACACAGTCTGTAAATAATTGAGTGTCTCAAAAGGGGTCTACACCACTACGACCCAGAATCCTCAATTTTTTTCAGATTGTGCAAGGACGATTCTGTCATTCAAAATGCCCGGAAGGGGACCCCTGAACGGGACCCCTGAACGGCATAAAAGCTACCACATCACTCAGAATGGGAGACATGGTTCAGCACTGGTTGGGTGGACCAGTGGGAAGATTGGGATAGAATCCCTTAAGTCTTTTCACATATTGATAAATTATTCAAATGGTATAAGCCATACATTAGCTATGTAGGGATCAAAAGAAAACTTTTCGTCCCTAAGGATAATGAACAAGATAAACATCAACCAACAGACAATGAGCATGCCAAAGAAGTCACTGAACCCCCTGTTGCCAACATATTTGCCTCACTTGCTTTAAAACAGTCTCAGAAGAGCCTTAAGACATTAATGATGCTATGTTGTGAATCTTTTTTCGGATAACGGTGTGTTCTTGGCGTGCCAACAAATTTCTTTGGGAAGTTGTTGTAACTTGTAGCCTGTGCATGCTCATATCTCACATTTGATAAGAGTCACGCCCCGAACACGTCTTCAGGTTAAAATTCACTCATCCTCATAGCACCACCTGCTGGAATAAGGAAGTGTCCCTTCAAAGATGCAGCCCCTGCGCATTGAATCTCCAAGATGCACAAACCTTTTGTGGTACATGTATCATCCCAAGACGCACAAAAAAAATCCTCTTGGAGCCATGCCTGAAATCAGACAGGAAGTCAGCCATTTTGATTTTAATGTGCAATTACCTCCTGGTTCCACAGGAGAGGAGCTTTTTTTACGACGGCTGACGTTGCTGACGTATTGCGGTAAGCGTGTCGACTCATTTCCGTTTCCGGTGCTTGTGTGTTGGTACCGTGTTGTGCTGCTCTCGCTAAATAACAGTTACATTTGTTTGATTACAGCAGCCAACTGTCCACTAAACACTTATTCTTACAGTAATTTTGCCTAAGCACTCACAGTTCTTTCCATCTTTTAGTGACTGCTGTTCAATCTCATAGTTGTTCTAAAGTTTTGGTAGCTGACGCTACAGTACTTTAGCTTAGCCGTTAGCGACTTTAGCTTAGCAGCTAGCGATGGCTTCTCCTTCTCCCTCTCTCTCTCCTACTTTCTCCTGCTCGGTGTGTCAGATGTTCAGTTACTCCTCTGCCTCCTTTAGCGGTAATGGTACATGTAATAAGTGTAGTTTATTTATAGACATGGAGGCGAGGCTCAGTGATTTAGAAGTCCGGCTCCGCACCTGGTAGATCTTGGTAGTCTTTAGCTACTGTAGCTAGCCAGTCCCCGGTAGTCGGTGCGGGCCGGTCTGAGTTAGCCTCTGGTAACCGTCCCCCGGCATCCCCTGTGCAGCCAGGAAGGGGAGGAAACAAAGTCGGACACCGTAGTTTTCTCTGGACCCCTGCCAAATCTGACCAGTGATGACATGTAGCGCAAAGTCCCGCCCAAAGGGAGTTCCCATCTCTCACAAAAGGTACTGCTCTGTACTGCTTGACTGGGCTACAAACAGCTTGTTTGTAGTCCAGCCGTTTCCCTTACTTCACTGTGATGTCACAATGCGTCATAAAGCTTGCCAAGCGGGTAGCGGGGTCAGACACACCCTCAAACCAAGCTAGTCTGAGGAGAGGCCCTTTGTTTTTGTGAAGCCCCTTCTCCATTGCACAGTACCAGTCCCAATTGGCTCGACTCGCCTTTATTTGGTTTTCCATTGTAGAAATGTTGCACCTGTACCTGCTTCCAGGTACTTTTTTTCGTATCACCTCTGACGAGGTTCCAAGCGAGCTGAGGGAAACTAAAATGTAACATGAAAACACAACAGACTGCTGATTGGTCAGAGAGAATATTCACCGCATCATCATTGCTGCACCAGACAGAGGTCAGCAACAGAAAGTTTTATATTTTACAGTTTTCATAGGGAATTTCACTAAATCCACTTGTGAGAAGTTTTGAGGTGAGAAATCAGCTGTGTAGATTTAGAAAATTGACAGTTTTACGAGAAGTGATGGCGGAACAAAAATGTGCTTGAATACTGTCGAGCTCCGCAAGTGGCTGCGGGGGAAGCCTGTGCCAACCCGCGGGAGGAGCGTGTGAGGCCGGCCAGCCGCCCGGTCCAGGTCCAGGTCCAGCAGAGTCTGGTCCCTGCTGCTGCTCTGGGCTTCAACACAACACACACAGAGCTTTGAGAGTGAATAATGATGGTGGAGTGATTTGAGTCCTGGACAGTTAGAGATCCTCATCTCACCTCTGAGCTTTGGTCTGGCTGTCATGTTCCCCACACAGAGTGCTTTTAGAGGGAGGGACTCCCTCCTCTCTGTCCTCACACTGATTCATAGCAGAGCCCACACCTTCACACAAACACAACAACATGCTGAGAGAGCTGCACTCATTCATTACAACAAGCTTTACATCTCAGATCATCACTGCTCTCTACCACAGTGTCATTCTTCATTCCACCACCTGATGGAGCCAAACGGAAGACATTATTTCAAACATTTCCACTGTGGACAAAAGAAACTATATTAGATTCATTTCTGTACAGCTGTGCAGTCTTCAGAGAAAAAAGAGAAACTGTCCCCAAAACCTTAAAAAGTCCTTTAATTGCAGCATGCTGACAGCAGGTCCACCAGAGCTGACAGTCAAACAGAGCAAAGTGTCTCTGAAAGAGGAGGACGCAGAGCGACGGGGGCGTCATGTTGACAGTTTGTGTAGCAAATACATTGGCTAGACACTGACCCACAACATTTCCATTTCAATGTTTTGATTCCCATTTTGCCAGGAACAATTCTCTCTCTCTCCTGTCGTGCTTACTCTAAATGCAGGCGGGGGGGTGGGTCACGTAACGTGAACTCCAAACAAATATAGCGATATTATTGCGAGTGTCTTGTTTTGTGTGTGTGTGTGTGTGTGTGTGTGTGTGTGTGTGTGTGTGTAAACTACTAGACCTCTGTCTAAACCAGTACAACAAGGATTTTACAGACCGGTATCCCCGACTGTGGTAAACATCTACATGGAAGAAGGGGAGAATAAAGCCTCAACTCCTTCAGAGGAACAGCACCGAGCCACTGGTACAGATATGTGGACGACACCTGGGTCAGAATTAAAAGCCTTCACAGAACACATCAACTCTGTGGACAGTAACATCAAGTTCACACGAGAAGATGTTCACAACAACAGTTTGGCCTTCCTGGACTGCGCTGTACACATTGAAGAGGACAGGAGCCTGCAGATTGGTGTTTACAGAAAACCCACACACACAGACCAATACCTACTGTTCGATTCACACCACCCACTGGAGCACAAGCTAGGGGTCATGAGAACACTGCACCACAGAGCAGAAAACATACCAACAAGCGCCCAAGCCAGAGAGAAGGAACAGAACCACCTGAAGGGGGCACTTACAGCCTGTGGACACCCTAAATGGACCTTTGTGAAAACAGCCAAAAGATCCAAGAAGAACAAAACTACAGGGGAGGAAAAGAAGGTCAAACGCAACAACATTGTGATTCCATACGTGTCTGGAGTATCAGAGAAACTCAGGAGGATTTTCAACAAACACAACATCCCTGTGTTTTTTAAACCCAAGAACACACTAAGACAGATGCTGGTCCACCCCAAAGACCGCACACCCAAACACAAGAAAAGCAATCTAGTGTATGCGGTCCAATGCAATGAGGAATGCACAGACCTGTATATTGGGGAGACTAAACAACCACGACGCAAACGCATGGCTCAACACAGAAGGGCCAACTCCTCAGGTCAAGACTCTGCAGTCTACTTACATCTGAAGGACAGAGGACACTCGTTTGAGGACCACCAGGTGCACATTTTAGACAGAGAAGATGGATGGTTTGAAAGAAGCCATTTACACAAGAGTAGAGAGACCATCTCTCACGACAGTCAGAAGAACGAACCAACCAAGAGTTATTGATCACCAACCTGTGTTTCTCTACCACTCAGTCAGAAGCTTCCCGGATGAGGGATGAAACGAAAGAATCTCCCACCAAGTCCAGTTGCCCGTGATTTGAACCTTCCTTAGATGCAGATGAGGACAGCGTGTACATGCACAGATACTGTACAAATATAATTCTCAGACACTCTCTGCTGATCCTGTACATTTGGTTTAATGAAGAACAGACTGAGGTCACAGAAACATGTTTGTACATAAAACACAGATATAATCACAGTTACAGAAACACAGACAGTATTTTGGTTTCTATTTACATCAAATCAATAAATAGGAGGTACAGGACAGGTACGAGCCCGGCTGTTAACAGTGGTCGACTGAGTGAAGAACATGAGGTGCAGGGTGGACCAGTGGTTAAAGAAATGTCACAGGTTCAAGTCCCGGATCTTCCATTGTGCCACCGAGCAAATAAAATTCATTTATTAAAATCTGCTCTAGAAAACATCACATTTCTAGCGTGTATGGAGGACAATCCCTGACTTTCCTGGAAAAAAATAAGTCAATACAGTTTTTATTTAAGCTTGACACAAATTAGAAAAAGGCACAAAAAGACAAATAAATCCATTAATGTGTATATAAATAAAATCATTATGAGGGTTAAACCGTTAATTAATTCTGCTCAGGGAAAATAAATCCACAGCTATTTTATTCTCTCATTTAAAAAAATGAATTTATTAATTTGCCAGATAATTTATTTTTCTCCTAAAGCAGGTTGGTCCTCCATACATCTGTCTGACTGGCTGCACTGTAAATGTTCAGTGTGAGACGTTGGACACTGTTATCGCTGAGACACATGTTAATGTCTTTACAGTCAAGTTATCTCAATTAAGATTTTCATGAAACCAGAAGAAAATGAGATATCAGACACAGAAACGGCTGCAAATTAAAGGAACAGTCCCACATTTTGGAAACCTGATGTTGTAGCTAAGAAGCCAGTGACGAGTCCACTGAGTGTCAGCTGGAGACAGGACAAATATCTCATGCTGAAACCATGCTGGGCCTTCTTTAAAGAATCATTTTGTTTTTCCTTTTCAAATCTTTTCTTCCCCATCAGCCGTTTTAAGTCCGATTAACCAAACTCTCTTCACCTCACACACTTGTTGTAAATCGCTCGTTCCACCTGCTGGATCCACCAGAGATTTGACAATTCGATTAATCGAATCAAAATAACCGGTCTGTATGGTCGGTCGTCTGACGACGTCTGAGGTCAGAGGTGTTTCTAACTGTTGTGAACGTCCAAACTGGAAAGTGGACAGAAGAGTCGGACGCCATTCCTGGATGAGGCCACTTTACATTTCTGTTTGTACACCAGCTCAACACATAACATGTAAATCACCTCAGAGTTCTGGGAAGGTGGATTTGTTCACTTTCGATGGGGTGCTAGGCTAGAAGCTTGACCCAGGTATCAGTCTTTGTGCTAAGCTAGGCTAAACACGTCCTGGAGCTATTTCTGACTCAGAGAAAACAGAACAAGAGGGTTTATAAAATGTTGGACTGTTCCTTTAATCCTTTAAAAATCATCTGCGAGGTGTTACTGTGACTGAACAAAGGGACCTCTGAGAGGTAAAGTTTAGTGGTTAGTCCGCTTGTTGCAGAATTCCACACAGATTTAATCTAACAGTGGAACATTAAAGTCTCTGCAGAGGGAAGAAGTCTGTAACAAGACGGATCCCTCAGTGCAGTGACGCCTTCCTAAGATCATCTGAACATGAACTGAACCTGTGCAACACAACAACGTCCTGTACAAAAAGGTGCTTTGAACAAATATTCTGATATTGTTTACTTGAGGAATGTATAAAGAAATGTACATATTTCTAGATATTTATCTACAGAATGCCAGAGAGGGAAAAGATCTTGTAATCAGGGGAAAGTGGTTTTTGGATCTTTAAGCTGTTCTAGTCACAAAAGATATTTTCTCTTTCAAACGCTTGAGTTCTTTAAATCACAATAATCATTATATATGTACATGTAATTATGTTGTTTATGTTTTCCATCATGATTCTTCCATAATCACAGGAAGTAAAGCAGAAGTCGTCTCTGGCTGTGAATGGGTTGGGAAAACTCTGACAGGGTGACCAACGGATGGTCACTGCGTACAGATTTATAAATCTTCATTAATTCAGAGTTTTGATATGAAGTTTTTTCTGGTTCTGTTTGTTCAGCTCATGCTCTGGAACTTCTCTCTCAGATTTTTCACGATGCTCTGCTGACCGGCCTCCGTCTTCTGTCCGGAGCTCGTTTTCTGGGACTCGTCGTCCTGATCGGACGCCGTGGTGGAGTCGAGCTCTTGAGGCCTCGTGGACTCAGTTTTGGATTTCACGTCCTCCCTCTGTTTGTATTCGTCAGACTCCTGGTAGACCCGGCAGCGGTCGATGACGGCCATGATGGAGATCTTCTCCCTGCTGGTGGGTGAACGGATCTGAACGTACTTTTCGTCGTCGCCTTCTTTGGATTCTTTGGTCGTTTCTGCAGACTCAGAAAGCTTCTCCAAGACCATGATCTTGTGTTCGGGGTCATTTGTTAGCGGCGCTTCGGCTGCAACGTAGTAACCGTCGTAGTTGCCATTGGCGACCTGGTCCTGGAGGTTCTGCAGCTCAGTCATTTGGGCTCCGCTCAGCCGAGGGTCCAGAGAATTGGCTCTGTGAAGCCGCTTTCTGCGTTCTTCTCTGCTGGACTCACGGCTGCTGGAAAGTTTGAACGAAGAACTGCCAGGAGCGCCGTCAGCGAGAAGGCCGGAGGAGCAGCTGGAGTGCCTCCTCAGACCTCCGTCAAACATCTGCTCCTGGACAGAGCGACTCCGGCCGACAGAACTCTTCTGGGAGAGACCGTGGTCGGAGTATTTGGAGCGGAGTTCTCGGACGTCTGGCCAGCTGAAGCCCTCGATGGAGGAGGACCGAAGGGAATTTACCAGGCTGCGGGAGCGAGCCTGGGGCGGGGAGACCACACCCGAGCTGCCCACCGAGCTGCAGGTGAGGCCAGGGGTCGGAGATGGGATCTGGTCTACAGGGCTCACCGGTAGAGAGGTCGCCTGGTTGTGAGGAACCAGTGGCAGAGTCAGGTTGGATTTACCTGCAAAGCCAAACAGATCATGAATTTAAAGCATAATTTAAATAAATCGTTTTATTATTAACTTGTTTCAGACTAAATTAGGAAAGACAATGTTATCACAAAACTACCAAAATAAAAGCAGAATAATCCTCAAAGGTATGAACAAGTGTTACGGAACTTGGAGATATTAGAGCAGCCTGATTGTTAAAGTACCTTCAAATGCCAAACATTGGTATAAATACAGTAATACTGCAAATTTGAGTATTTAAATCAGTATTATAGTATCTGTCCCTCTTTTCAATATGTCCAGTCATGAACTGGGTCGAAGACACGTTCATCTAAGTCGCTACAGTCTGGCATGTTTGTGTTTATGTTCAGGTAAAGACATATTTAAAAAGGTCAACGGGACGCCACACTACCTGCACTCTCCTTCTCCTCCACCACAGAGGGTAAGAACTTGCCCATCAGGAGGCCCTGACTTCGCTGTCGGACCACTGGTTTGGTTGTTTTGATTCGCTGGCTGTATTGGCGGGCCAGATTGAGGACTTTGCTTTTGGTCTTGTCTGCGTCCTCCAGCTGGTTTGAATCCTCACCGGGCTTTTCCCCCTCTGCCTCCGCCTTCAGCTGGGCGATGCGAGGAACCGGAGCCCTGAAGACGATGGGCTCTTCCCTGAACACCTTCAGTGCGTCCTTCAGACTTCCTGTCCGAGTCACATCGGAGGCTTTGTGCTTGAGGGGCGAAGGGCTCGTGGATTCCTCTGTGATGGTGCTGAGGTCAGACGCCCCACTCTCTCGGTCACAGCTCTTGTGTGGGGTCTCCGCCGCGTCTGTCGCTCTGGAGTTTCTTGGAGCTTCTCGACTCCGTTCACGGCGTCGGTCTTCGCTTTGGGATCTATTGATCTCTTGCTCCATCGACTGCCAGATTTTGATCATTTCAGATGAAGGTCTGAACTCTTCGTCCTCGGAAAAATTGTCCTGCATGCTTTGAGATCTGGACCTTTGGATTTCTGCTGAATCTTCTGGATCTGTGCTTCTCTGATCAGACTTCAGAGAGTCCAAAGAGTCACTAAAGACCATGTGACCCCACGTATCTGTGGATAAAGCAGACTCTGCCGAAGAGGGGTCAAAACTGGAGGATGGGCCCAAGGTGGAGGGATTTTTCTGGACAGAATCATCCTTCGGGATGCTGTTGAACCGGCTGACGGAGCTCCTGACCAGCCCAGTCGGGATGTAGGTCAGGCTCTCTCTGCGCTGGAGGCTGAAGGTGGCGTCACGGTTCTCTGCATTCTCATAATAACTCTTGATTTTGCCAATGAGCAGCTGGTCCTGCCTAGACAGGGTGGAGTCCCGCCTCCAACGAATGCCGCGGTCGGCATCGAAAAGGCTGTCGTCCCGAGGAGACAGCAGGGTCAAGTCTGTCCCCCCGAAGGTCTCAGCAGAATCAGAACAGACACTGTTTTGCCGTAAAGGGTGATTGGATGGTTCGGCGCTGAGGCTGAGGCTGAGGCTGCTGCCGGTCCTGCTGGGTAGCCGTGGTGAAGCACAACCAAGGGAGCGAGTGTCGTCCTGGACCAGGCTGCCTCGCTTGATGCTGTTGCTGAAATGCTGAGCGATGGCGCTGGCTTTGTCCAGGACAGAGGAGGGAAGGATGCTGGAGGTTTCGCCTTCTTTCTCCGCTGCCCCCTCCTCGTCCTCAGACGATTCCCCACTACTCAGGGTTTTTGAATCTGAATCAGGTGTGGAGGAGCACGGTTGTTCTGTGGGCTCTGAATCTCTTTCCAGTTTCAGATCTTCTGAACTTTGAGGGGATACTGGGATCCTCTGAGTTGTAGCAGACAAACTGTCCGGATCCGATGGTTTTGGTTCTGGTTCAGGATTTTCTATTGGTTCAGACTCTGACGTCTTCTCCTGTGGAAGCTCATCTGTGGGGGGCTACAAAGGAAGAAAAACCAAAACAGGACAAATAATTAGGAAATATGGAAATATTTTCTGAACCATTTATCACTTTGAATGAAGCTTGACTTTCTGTGGTCCGTTATACCCTTATGAATTAAATAATTAATATCAAATTACAGTGGGACAATTGACACAGTGGAGCCCGACAAGCACGGCAAAGTGTCCTTACAAGAGTTCATGGTCTTTATCATCAGCCGAGAAACAGTAAATGTGGAGACAGAGCTCCTACCAAGAACAAGCAACGGCTGCTGGTCACACATGAAGCCCTAAAGGCCGAAAGGGCTGGTTTGCTTTTCGTTAACTGATCCCTAACCTGACCCGGCTGTTTGTGTTGGTCCCTGTCCGGGACGTATGGGCAACACGGAGAGCCAAAGTGAAAAGGGAGCTTTCAGGTTCTGTTCAAATAGTCAGAAAACCTCATTCATACTGATTTGTGAGTCAATTATGTTGTGTAATGGAAATTTCAAGAAAACACTGCCATGTAACTAATCTCACTAGGGGCCTCCAGCCTCTTTGGGTACGGGGTCAATGGAAGGTAAATGTGTGTGATGCTTTAACAAATGTCCAGAGGGGTCAGGACTTTAAGGGTTTCACCACATGGACCTTGGGCATGGGTGTCTTTCTATAGATTCCCCTAGGGAACACTGAAAGACACCAAGTTCCTTTGATGAGTTAGTACTCCGACCCTGTTACACTGCAGCTCACTCGGCTGATTCTCTCTGATGTGTCCCTGTGAGCTCCTGAGCTGTTTATTTAAACACGCTTTTTCCCACCACAGTTGTCAGAACGGAATCTCATATCTGTGTTTCTTCAGTTTGAATGTTTTTTGAGGCACCATTTCCCATAAGCCCTCAGGCCAAAGGGGGATAAACATCACGACCCGACAGAAGAAACGAGCCCACGGGCGAGTCCAGAGTTCATTCAGGAGAGAAGAAAGTGTTGATGAATTTTACGGATATGGACGAAACCAAGCTATCTGTTAATACGATGGTGAATTTTCATGGGCGCTGTAGTTTTTTGTGCTCACAATGCAATTGTTGTTGCACTTTGTTTAAATCACCAGAGTTTTTAAAATCCAGCTGCTGCAGAGGAGCTGATCTGTCTTTGAATATGGAAAGTAAACCTCAGGAACCGATGAAAGAAACGCTGAATGAGAGACAGGAAGTGATGTCAGGACTTGCTGTAATAACAAACAAGGTATCAAACCAGCGAGTCGTCCACTGTGCTGTTATTTACCTGCTCACACGTCGGCTGAGGTCCACCCGGCTCGTCTTCTTCAGGAAGTCGGCCATTTTCTTTGTTACAGCCATTAGAAGAGACGTCGTCTCCCTCGGCCTCCTTCAACAAAGACAAAATAAATTCTTTAAGGGCAGCAGATCAAACAGAAGCTGTGAGTTTAAATATTTTAATATCCTCATATAAAACCACAAATAACAAACCACGACTGCATTAGTGTTAATTATTATATTATAGTGTTACTCTGCTGTAAAAACACTGTCCACTCATTCTTAAAGGGTCATTTCACCCAAACCACAAACAATAAATCACATTCTCCTTCAAAGGCAACGTGTTGTCTGGATGATCCACAGAACCAAAACCAAACACTAAAGTTTGTTAACTATAATTTTTGGATGCTTTGAGCTTCATTGTCCTGAGCTGGGAAGAAATCTAAGCAAATCAAACTATATCATGGTTAGACACCAGTTTTTCTACCGAGTGAACAAACAGAATGAACAACAGTAACCATCTCCGGCTGTGATCGGCAGTTAGGTGATAAATGTTGTGCAGCTGAATCATCCATCAGTCTCTTCAACCACACGTGCAAATAAACAAAGCAACAACACACAGACAGCCGCAGCAAACGCCTGGTTCGACTATGCAACCAAACAAGCTTTCAGTTAGATTCGGTGTTCGGCCCCACAGCGGTAAAGATTAAATCACACAATATGCTGTAAAAGCTGCAGGTCAGATGCCACAAAAGCTAAAAATACATGAAGGTAAAACGTAGGTGTGAAAATTCTGTATCAGCTGCTAAACTTTTCCATCAGAATGAGCTGCACTGAACAATTCAGCATTTTAATAAATTATCTTGTTCTCAGTCTTCTCCAGAGTGTTTTCAGTTATATCAATTTAGAACAGCAACAGGTCTAGGATGAGTTTAGCCTAGCTTAGCACAAAGACTGGAAAGCAGGAGCTAGCGTGGCCCCATCAAAAGAGAAAGTCTGTCTGGGGTTTATGTCGTACCTTCTTTATACAACAGGTACATATAAGAAAAAGGTTTATGATATTACAGATGATGTGCAGCTTCACGTTTCCATGCTATTGCAGGACCTTGTGCCTGCCAGACCAAACTGAAGGCATCAAACACTTTGACAGCTTTAAAAAGAAGGTTAAACCTCAGGGTTTGCACTCTTTGTGTCTATCAAGTTTGATATAATAGAGTGTTTTATTTTGTGACTCTGTGGTTGAGTGAAGTCAACATAAAACAGCAGATTTTCAACGGCAGTTCTGCACTGGGTTTTTCTCTTGATGGAGCTAGGCTAGCTGTTTCCCCCAGATCCAGTGCTAAGCTGGGCTAAACAGGTCCTGGACACAGAGATGAAACTGAAACACTGGAGAAGACAGAACAAGAGGGTTTTTATCAGAAACTGACAGTTGATGTTGTTCGATGTGAAGGTTTGCCTTCTCTAACCGTCACTGAACATAAACAGTCCCGTGTCCGTCACCCTGCTGAGGGTTAGCGTTGACCCCTAACATGCAGCTGGTGTTAGTTCCACACGTGAAGCTCATGCAGCAGGTGGCTGAGAGCTCCAGAGCAGCAGGCAGCAGTAAGTCATCCCTGAGCGGAGCGGGGAGCGCCGTTATCCTTGACTTTAGTTTGTTACAGAGCCGGAGAGGGACGGGAGGAGGGCAGGCAACCAGATGTTGGGGGGGGACACGAAGAACACCTGGCTGGCAGCAGAAAGCCTCACCGTCACCATGGTAACCCCTGTTGAAAGCAGAGCCTGGGCGCCGTAGTGCCAGCAGGAGATGGCAGCCAGCACGGAGCTGGCGAAGTCGTCTACCTGGTCGTCCTCCAGCAGAATCTCGTCTGACTCGCTGTCCTCTGCTGGCGTCTGACTTGACTGCTGAGGACACAACCTCCCCGCCTCCTCCTCCTCTTCAGCGGCCCGGTGAGCCTCAGACTCGCCCAGCGTGTTGCTGCTGGAGGCGGGCTGGCGACGGCGGAACTCCCCCTCAGTGTCCGAGTGCTGCAGGACGTCACACACCATCCGGTTTTCCATTTTCTAGGACTAATGTAGTGTTGATTTGACAGCAGTGCTGGACCACCTGTTCCTCAGTCCCCCGGGGGTCCAAAGGCCCCGGGGGTTTATCACCTGGTCCTCTGGGTCATGTTTCAACCCCCCCCAGTAATAATTACAGTTACAGCTCCTGGTAGCAGTGTGCCCATGGGTGTACAGACAACTCTCTGGATTACTGTGAATATCAAAACTTACTCAGATTATTGAAAAGGTCGTCTTTCTTTTTTGAATATTTTTCAATCTGGTTTCTGAGTCTGCACTAATCGAAGTCGCTGCTACCTGTAGACGCTAATGACTGCAACATTAATGTGCTGCCTGCGACACTGCAGACCACGACCCCCTTCTGAGCACTGGGTGGACATCCGTGTAATATAATGGTTCCCCTCCTTCCTAGAAGTTACAACCTTCTCAGCTGCCTGTAGTGGTTCATCGTTGTTCATGTTTCCCCTGAGTCACGTTATGTGTTACGCTGACGACACACAGTTGTTCCTCTAATATCCCGTAATATTAGCTAAACATGTACCTTGTGACTCTCAGAGTCTTGAGCATTTTATTTGGCTTAAATTTGATAAACAAATAAATGTTGAGTTTTAAGCAGTTGATTTTAACCTTTGTTGGTTAAGCAAAGTCAAGCATGTTTTCTTTTAGAGGTCAGAAATCAACAACGACTTTTATTTTATTTTTCCTTCATTATTGCAAAGCACTGAATCTCAGAGCCAAAATAAAGATGAATCGCACCATTTTCTCAGATTAACCTCTGCACTGGTTACTGGCTTTGAACAGTGTCCTTCCACAGCCCACTGTCCTCCTACAACACTGTGGTCACCTGACAAACTGCAAACTGAAATGTCCTCCCTGACCTACAGCAGGCTTTAAGGCTGAACGCTGGTTAAAGTCTGACTCTTACCTTTATGACGGCTGTGTGATCAGCAGGAGAATCCGCAGCAGAAGAAGAAGAGCAGACACGATGATTGGTTAAACACAGACAGCAGAGAGAGTTCATTACCATGTCTCTGACTAATCAGAAAGATCAGCTGAGACTTGTTTGACCTCTGGATCTAATCAGCTGATCAGTAACATCATCATGGTAAACGATGTAACTTGAAACATGTGAACTTGTGAATAAAAACAATAACAGAATAATAAAAAACAAATGATGCACTTTGTTGTCATGATACATTATCAGCCGAACACTGAAACAACATTGGATTTGCTTGTTTGTCCTCATACAGCTGACTTTTAAAGAATAAAGCTGAGGACATTGAATCTAACACGAGACAGGAAGTAGTCTTAGTCACAACAACAACAACAACAACAACATGTTTGTACCTTTGGTGTTCTTCAGTACTTGTTTGGTCAGCTCTGAAGAAGAAACAGCAACGTTAAAGATAAACACAGAGAGAACGAACGGATGTGAGAAACAAATCTGTAAACAGGAAGTAGATCACGTCGTTGGCGTGTGTTTACCCGACTGTTGTCGTCCCTGACAACCGTCTCGTGGAATCTCATCAGACTGAGACAGAGCTTTCTTCAGCCGCTCAGGGCTGTAACGGTACCTGGGAGGGTCTACAGGTGACACAACAACAACAATTATTTTAGAGAACATGTGATCAGTACATAATGTTCTGGGTGATTTTACAGATGTGTTATAATATCACAGTCACATGTGAGATATTAATACTCTGATCAAGTAGTTTTACTTTGGACACTTTAAGTGTGTTCTTTAATAACAAAATGAATACTTGCTTTAACTTGAAACGGAGTATTTGTACATCGTTCTATTAGTATTTTTACTAAAGTAAAGGATGCTGGATGATGATGATAATGGATGATGTGATATTTAATGACTCACAGAATTATCTTAGCTGATTACCTTTATCAGCCGGTGAGGTTTAATAACTGATCTTCAGTCTGAACAGTAATGTCGTGTTCGTAACGGTCAATAATTATTAAATAATGATTATATATCTTTAGATCACGTGATCATTAAATGTCTCTTTTTCTAACTGATGAAGATCAAATCAAAAACATTTACTCACATATGGAGTTCATTTCCAAGATGGCCTCTTTAGCCTGAAACAAAAACAGCAAGTAAAAGCAGTGTTACAGGTGCGTATACTGGTGCTACAGGTGCGTATACTGGTGCATATACTGGTGCATATACTGGTGCATATACTGGTGCGTATACTGGTGCTACAGGTGCGTATAGTGGTGCTACAGGTGCGTATACTGGTGCTACAGGTGCGTATACTGGTGCTACAGGTGCGTATACTGGTGCTACAGGTGGTGTCTGACCTTCTGTGGGATGATGGCGTGGTGGTTTTCCAGAATGATGCGTTTGATGTGATGAGCCCACAGCTTCTTCTCCTCCACCGTCTTCGCCTGGAAACAACAAAGAGAAATGTTTCATCACCGCAGACTCGACCTGTTCACCACCTGAAGGAGAGCCGACTAAATACAGTGTCTCACAAAGTGAGTCCACCCCTCACATCTTTGTAAATATGTGATTCTACAGCAGGGACAGCAGATTTACACTGTTATACAAGCTGCACACTCACTGCTTTACACTGTAGCAAAGAGTCATTTCTGCAGTGTTGTCACATGAAAAGATACAATCATATATTTACAAATATATGTGAGGGGTGGACTCACTGTTGTGACATACTGTCTATACATACTGTGTACACACACACACACACACACACAGGTGAGCAGGTGTTTGGCAGGTGCAGACTCACCTGGACGGTGTGAGGCTGTTTGGGATGTTTGTAATGAGTCACGCTGAAGCTCAGAGAGTCTTTGGCGCTTTCAATCAGCATGAGGGTGGCGCACTGAACACAGAGACATAAAGATTCATGAATCTGCTTCACAGTAAACACAGCCGGTGGGTTCGTCTAAAGGGTTTGTGTTTCTTCACTAATAAACATCTATTAATTCATTTCCTGGTGAAATTAATTAATAAAGCCACTTCTGTTCTGTTTTATTCCCTGTGCAGATATTTAAACTCTAAACGCTCTAAACTCTGGAGCAGGTTTGTTCTCACAGTGATGTACGTCTTGTAGACGAAGTGTTCTCCGCGGCGTTTGGTGATCAACAGCATGCGGTCGAACAGGAAGAGCGTTCTCTCGTTTTTGGCCCGATGGACTTTGAAGGTTCCCTCTAGAACCAGTTCTCCGTACGTGGTGAGGTCTGGACCTTTCCAGTTCAGCAGCAAAGACTGAATCTCCTGAAGAAAACACGGAACAAACATTATTATTAGCCTGCTGTTAGCTTAGCTTCATCAAAACAACTATGAACCTGACGGACATGTTCAGTACAGGTGTTTACTGAACTGTAGATACGTCCTTTTATCAGCAAAAAGTGTTCTGTGCAGAACTTCCATGGGAAATCTGCTGTTTTAAGAAGTGGTGACTGGACCACAGAGTGGTCACATGTAAACTCTGAGGAGGTCCAACCCGGTTCTGCTGTCACATGTTGAACCAAAGTTGCTTTTCAGGTGAAACAACATGAAACCCTGACAGGACAAACAAACAGAGGGACGAGCACAGGATGCCATAAAGTAGATGTACTTGTCTCTGTGACTGACCTGCAGTCTGACGGCGTGCTCGTGTTTCCTCTTCATGTCGTTGATGTACCAGGCCACGCCCGTCATGGTGTAGATCGCCTCCTCCACCACCTCATAGCCCTCCTCCATCGGGTCAAAGTGCTTCGCTATCTCCTGCACAGGTACACCATCATCAGTAACAGTAACAGCCTCATTTCATATTTTTTATTTACTTTTCTAAACTCTGACTCTGAACGAAACATACTGAGGAACACGGCCTCCACCTGTCACTCAGGTGTGTCGGGTCGTACCTGGAGCAGCAAGTGGTACTTGAGGATCCTCTGGACGGGTTTGAGCAGGTATGAACCCAGAGGCAGCGACCGCTTCAACGACGCCTGCCGCTCCCGGAAAAACGTAGCCAGAGTTTTATTCCTCATGCACTCGGTCAGCGCCGCCACCGAACTGCAGCGAAAAACAGATCAGAGCAGGTAAAACACAGTTAGATTTGATTTCCACAGCGGCTGGCCTCCTGCATGGGATGTGAAAAAATCCAGGAGGTCTCACCAGCTGACTTCAGCTGCTCTATTAGAGAAGAATTAATCCTCCTAGAATCATTGTAGGAGAATCCACCATATTTAACACCTCATTAAGCCAATGTACAGTCCCACAGTGCTTTAACTGCTCCACCATCATTCCTCGATGACTGCAGTCCAGCTAACATCTGTGTACTGAAAGCATTTGAACTAATTATTATTTAAACTCTTTACCACACTCTCGGACACGAACACTGATGAAAGCCCGCTCCGCATGGAGGCAGAGCAGCTGTCACTTGGTGTTTGAACAATGAGCTCCAGCTCAACAACTCATTATCGACTTCAGACGCAGGCCATTTCCCAAAACACCCATACAAATAAACGGCACCACAATCACCATCACCGACTCCTTTAAATTCTTAGGAACACACAACTAACAGCGAACACATCATTGCAAAAGCTCAACAGAGACTTTACTTCCTCAGGCACCTTCAAAAATACCGGATCAAGCATCAACTCCTTGTTCTGTTCCACTCCGCTATCGTCGAGTCCATTATTACATCATCGGCCACAGTACGGTAGCACGGACAGCCAAAGAAAGAAGAAACTACAGCGGAGTGTCAATACAGCATCCAGGATCACAGGAAAACCACTTCCCTCAGCCGATTCCCTCTGTAGACGTCGGACTGTAAAGCGACCTCCCATCCTGCTCACCGCCTCTTCCAGCTGCTTCCTCAGGGAGGCGCTGCAGGTCCAGCTCTGCCCCCGTCAGGACTCTGGACACATGACTGCGTCTTGTACTGTCTGTGTGTGTTTGTAATGTATACACGTGATGTAGAGCTTAAACATCCTGTAAACATCCGGCATTGTCGCGTGGCTAATAAAACAATCTCCTCTAAATGCACAGAACGTAAAAATTAATAAGCTGAAACTTTTAGCCTGAAGATTTTTTTTTAGCACAAACTATCCTTTCTTTGCTTTAATGCAAAATATTTTAAACTAAATGATAAAAACATAAAAACAACAGAGTCAGCTAAATGAATCAAGCAGCAAAAAAGTCGAGGTGAGTTAATTTGAGTGTTGCTCACGGGTCGATCACGATGACGATGCTGAAACGATTCATTGTGCAGCTCTACAACCAATACGAGAGATTTATAAACGTTTTTCTCTGCTGTTCTCAGTGTTTTTACCAACACTGCGGTGAAAACAATCTGGATTCACTGAGACGATCGTGAATAAGAGGAAATAAATACGGTACGAGGCTTGACTGGTGTGAGAGATGGGAAATAAACAAGAAGGTAAAACTGGGAAATGACCCTGTTTTTATTTTTTAGAACTGTATTGAAAGGTCTTCTCCCTGCGTTGCTTTTATGTTTTATGAAACGCACTTTGAGTTGTCTGGTGGCTGAAATGTGCTGATAACCCGCCTTGCATAAGGAAGTGATGTCAGAGATGTTATCAGAGGAAGTGTTCTCTGCAGAGTTTTCAGGAGCTTCTTGAAGTCAGAGAGGGACGCCGCTGCTCTGATGGCGTCGCTCGTTCCACCATCGTGGTGTCGCAGATGAGAACAGGGACTGAGGTCGCTTTGTGTGAAGGGAGGAGGAGCCAGGCGGCGTTCGTTGGAGGAGCGTAGCGGCCGAGAAGGAACGTGGGTTTGTATTATGGAGTTTAGGTAGATGGTGCAGACCCAGTAGGAGCTCTGGATGCAGCATTAGTGACTTGAATCTGATTCTGGAGGCCACGGGGAGCCAGTGGAGGTCACTGAGTAATGGAGGGACATGAGTCCTTTTGGGCTGATCAAAGACCAGACGGGCTGCTGAGTTCTGAACCATTTGTAGGGTTAACTAAGGATCATGGTCACATGACCAGATCTACAGGTACCAGGTGTGAGCAGGCAGACTGAACAACATGAGGAAGTCTGTGTGTACTGTCAGTACTTACTTTGGGTAGTTGGTGCAGTACTGCGTGTAGATCTCAAAGTACTCACTCTGAAACAAACAGTACATCATCACGTCGACACTCACAGACAAAAGACTCTCTGTTAACGTTTACCCCAACCAAACTGATCTAGCATTTTACTACTTTAAACCAAAACCTATAAAAATCTTTCACTCTAAGTTGCATAAATAATTTTAAGGCTCCCTTTAATGTAAATATACAGATATATAAATATTGAACAACCAAAACGATTCAGAAAACGACTGAATCATCTAAATAATTTAACGCCAATATCTGAGGAGATATCTTCTATTTTCTTAATAATTATTATTTAGACCTGCAGATTCGTTTAGAGAAAGTTTTAAATTTCAGTCACAGAAACAGACTTCCTTTATCAACCTGTTCTTTCAAAATAAAGCTCTGAAAAATCAACGAGGTTTAGTGGTTTGAAACGTTTCTCACCTTCATGACGAAGCACCGGGCGATGGCGACGGGGTCGTTGTCACACAGGTCGAGAGCCTGAAGCAGCTCGCTGTGAACAGGAAACACCGTCACCATGACGACAACAACAACAATAACAGTCAGCTGAGATTATCCACAAACAAACAGTTCGCAGGTCCGTTTAGTAACTGAGCTTTTGATCACGTACCCTGTCTTCCTCAGCAGCTGGTTAACCCTCTAATTTAATTTAGTTAAATTAAAACATCCACAATAAAGATATTTAATAACTGATATTTAATGACTCTCTGCTGATGAGGATCATGTGATCAAAAGCTCCAGAACAGCTGCTAAACGGCCCCTGTGGTGAGTTCGAACAACAAAGTGTGAGAAAGTGAAACGTGTTCGTTTGGTCCTGCAGCTCAACACATTTCAGTCTGAAGACGATCTGAGAGGAATGAACCTTTAACCTTCCTGTCTGACAGCAGGTGGAGTGACGTCACCTGTCCAGCGGGTGACGTCACTCCACACCTGTTTACTGATTATTCAGTCTCGAAGCCTCTGGAGGTTTGTAACGTCTAAAGAAGCCGTAACAGCAGGAAGTCTCTCAGGTGTTTCCAGGTGAAAGGAGACGTTCAGCACAGCACGCAGCATGCGGTCGGCCGGGAGCTCCTGGTCCACAAACCAAACTCACCTCCGACGTGAAGGAGAGTCGGCGAGCGAGTCCTCTGAGGAAGCGCTACAACGACACACCTGTTTACACCTGACGGGGGATTATCATGATGATGATTATCGGTTATTGACTGAGTCGTCGGCCACCTGTTGAACTCGTAGATGTCCTCGATGTTTCCAAAGAGAGCGCAGACCTGCTCGGGACGGATGGACAGGTCACACTGATCGATGATGTGGGCCAGGTAGTCCTGCAGACAGAGGAGGACAGGTGTTAAGCCAAGTCTGTCTTCCTGTCGTGCCTCAGCCTGTCCAGCAGGGGGCGCGCTGACTCCACTGTGATTCACACATTAATTATTAGGTTCTTTGCATTTCAACACTTAAACCCTCTTTTTATGTTTCAGTTATTGATTTATATTAAATTAATCTCATTTATGTTCTGAAATTAAACAAATGATTCTAAATATGTTAATAATATATTTATTTGTTTCTTTTTTGCTATTTTTTCATTTGTTTTCTATCTATTTCTCAATTGTGTGATCATTTAAATTTGATTGTTTTACATGATAAAAACATTTTTTAAATAATTTAATTCTGAATTATGTTCTATTAAATATTTATTTCACATCATTATATTGTGGATTTTACATTGATGTGATGTGGTCTACTGTTGCAGGACTGCAGGACGAGTCGGGGTGTTGCAGGTCCAGGTCTTCCCTCTGGGTTCAGGTCTCTCTGTGATCCTGACCGTTACATAAGCAGCTAATCCCGCCGCTGCAGAACGTCTTAACCCGTTAATTATAGTCTGTGACGGCGTCATTAAGAGGAGTCACTGGCAGCTCAGAGACGACAGCACACAGATCTAAACGTCCTACACAAATATAAATACAGTATTTATACTACTTCTCATTATATATGTACACGTCTGTGTTTGAACAGGAAGTCTGGGACTGCTGCACTTCCTGTAGCTTCACCTCCTTCACTGCCAGTGTTGTTGTTGTTGTTTATGAGGCCGTAAAGTTATAATTCTTATATTTTATGTCAGACGCAGTTTGTGACGTGCAGGAAGACAGGAAGTGCTCTGACTGTTAGCTCACCGCTAACGCTAACACAACCTCTACTGAAGGTTTACTGGCTTTTATTTTGAAGCTGCCGCAGGAAACACCATTTAAACAGATAACACTTCCTTATCAGTTAAATACTTTACTCAAATGCTCAAATGAATCTTTTTTAATTTGTTTTCCATGTCTTTAGTTTTAAAAATAATTAAATTTATTTCCGTTTCACATTAAAAGAAATTATTTTACTTTAAACGCAGTCACACGGCAACAATAATTTTATATTTAGAATTTAAAACAAATTATTTAATGCAGAAAGTGATTTTACATTAAAGACAGATTTTATTAATCTAATTATTCTACGTGACGCGTTTGAAACACAGTTCATACTTTATAAATTCTGACGTTGTTGAGACAAAGGATCAAAGCGTCTCACCTCTACGATCATGCGCAGGTCTCTGACGTACATCCGCTCCGTCTCGATGATCTCCATGACGACCCGGTCCAGGTAGGTCAGCTGGGGGTTCGGCGCCATGGTTTTGGCTATGAACGGCGACACCTGCTGGCGGCGGCTGGAGAATCGGCTCGGCGTGGACGGTTTGTTGTTGTTGTTTGTGCGATTGACGCTGCGCCCCGCCTCGTCGGGTCCTGGCCACGCCCCCTGGCCCTCTGCAGAGCCCCCCCCAGGGCTCAGGTCCAGGTGGATGTCGGAGGTCTGGGTGGACGGCGGGGGGGCGAGGTTGTCGTCCCCGGAGCCCGAGGACAGCGTGGAGATCAGGCTCACCGGGCGGCGGTCGGAAGAGGAGGAGTCGGAGGGCGTGGCCGACGGAGCGCGCTCATTACTGCTGATGGAGGCGGTGGACAGGCGGGAGGAGTCTGAGGAGAGAGGGGGGGTGATTGACAGGTGAGGATGACATCATAATGATGTCACTGAACAAAGCAGTTCGCACTGACAGCGTTGTGATGGTGATCACACCCATCAATCAAAATCAATCAGCTGATTCTGTACGTTTCCTTAACGATCGAGGTTCCAACAACATTATCACATTATTATTATTATTATTGATTATCATCATCCACTGATCAGCTGATCGTTCTGATCTGCCTTTCACAATAAGAGTCTTACTTAGATCACTGCTGCCTTTCACAATAAGAGTCTTACTAAGATCACTGCTGCCTTTCACAATAAGAGCTTCAGTGAGGAGGCAGAAACAGACTTTAAGGAGTTTGTTATTTGTTCCCGGACAGACGTCTCGATGATGTAACCGCACACAGATGATTATTATTAAGAACTCCCTGAGCTAAAAATAAACCCAACAGATTCCTCCTCTACCTGCAGCGTTTCTATCTGCTCAGAGGAATTTACAGAATCTCTAGACTCGTCTAAACCTGTTCAGTTTAATCCTGACGAGGTCTTTATTTCTGCAGACATATCGCACAATCTAGACGCTGCAACGATCTCCTCAGGAAGAGGAAGTGACCCTGAATGATTCAACATGTCTGACGTCTGTTAGACACGTCGTACAAATCGATTCTGTCTCGATCCTCAGTGATGGCAGGCGTCACGCAGCGGCTCAAAAACTCAACTCAAACTTTAAAAAGTGAGAACATTGTGTGTTGAGAAGTGGTGACGACATCAGGGCTCAGGTCAGACGGGTGATTAGCTCAGCAGACCAGAGCATCCACGATATTCATGAGGACGACAAGATATTTTAATACGATACAGAACAAATATCCAATGTTGACAAAGTTAACAAGTTAATTTCCTTCATCCTGGAGACATTTTCTGCACCAATCAATGGCGGAAATGTTTTTATTTATATAAAAAGGGAAAAACAAACCTCATCTTGTTTTTTTAGCTTAAGTTACTTTTTTTGGACGATGCAGATCTTTCTTCTATATTTAAACTACATTGTGTGTTTTTTTTTCTGCAAATAAACCTTTCATTTGTTCTGTCACATTTCTTTTAGCTATTTTTCAGAACATTTTTTACAAATGTAAAAAGTGTTGGGGACACGTCCTCCAGTGCAAACGTCTCCTGAGTGTTCTTCACTAAGAGCTCGACAGATTTACATTGCAGCTGAAACACAGACAGCGTGTCAGATGTCAAATATCCTGCTGTAATAATCTAATCTGACTTTTAAAAACTAACTCTGAAGGTAACTTTATACAGTAAAGGTCAACTTCCTCCATATCAGAAACTACCAAAAGCCATGTGTTCGTCTCGCTGGGCACAAACCACCTCTGCAGTCAGTAAACAACCAGGTAGCCAAAAACAACATAATATCACCATGGTTACCGCTTGACAAAATAATGCAACTTACTGAGCCGGGACGTTCGACTCAAATCTACAGATACTTCATGAGCTCAGTCACCAGAGTTTCCCCCCATCCCCTCCCCCATCAGCCAATCAGGTTCCTTCATCAGCAGGTTCCCTCTGATCTGATCAATGACACTGATTGATTTGTGATCTGTGTGATTCTGCTGTGATCGTCTGTGATGTGACAGTTAGGTGTTCAGCAGGCGGCCGTTTTGAGCTCATGGTGGGAAACTCCACGAAGAAAAGAGCTTTAAAGAGACTCTCAGGTTTCCAGCTGTTGACTTGAACAAGATTTACAGCTTGGAAAGTGTTTATTACAGCAGCTTCCAGGACATGAAGCTGCTGCTCACTTGTTTTAAAACTACTAGTTCTGCCTCAGAGACATTTTAAACACATTTAAATTATTTAAACGAATAAGTTTAAAAAACAGTTTCCCACCTCGCTGCTCAACACGGCCGCCCTGCGGTCTGGGTGCTAGCGAACGTACCGGCTAACCACCGCTCAGAGGGTTTAGCTAAATATCTGAGCAGCAGAGACGCCGACAGCCCGCCGCCTGAGACAGAGAGACAACAGCACGGCGTTCAGTCCAGCAGGGAACAGAAGGAGATTCTTCCTTTAACAACACCGTTTGTTTTGCTAGCTGCTGTGGAAATAATTCATGAATGACAGGTTTACACAGGAAGATTCAATACTTATTAAAACCTTTTCAACATTAAGACTGCCGCACCACTTTGAGCTGTAACTGGTTAAGTCAGAAACATTTCTATAAAAATACATGTAATAATCTAAATAGAGACGGAGATCAGTTTTGTTTTAAGCTGTGAACGCAGCCTGAAACTGTGAAATTGAGTCTGTAGATTTGTTGAACGCAGCCTGTTGAAGCCTCGTTCATAAATAATATTTCACACAGGCTGTGTCTAAAATCACCAACTACTCGCCGTTTTGTAGTGCTGTCCGAATGTATAGCGAGAGCTATTATACCCTATATAGTCCTCTCAATGTATCCCAGAATGCATTTTGAAAAGTAGTGTACAGCCGATGGTCACTAACCAAGCCGTATATACCATCATGCACTGCGCTGATAGAAAAAACTGATTGTCCGACAGCAATGACGTAATTAACGGCACCAAAATAACGACGGAGTGGAGTCCGAAAGTGTTGTTTTAATGATGCGAGTGAGCTCACTGTTGTACATACAGCTCCCTACAGAGGGGCAGGGAGGAGGGAATGAGACACAGAGGAGGGAATGAGACACAGAGAAAAACTATTTTTATCCACAATCACTTCAGTAAATCTTTGTATAGAAACTGTGGATCAGCTGATGAACCTGCAGCCTCACCAACACGTCTGTAGTTTAACTACAAACATCTGGACGACCAAGTCACAGCAGCTCCAGATGTTCCCGCTCTGCTCGTGTGGCCTGAACGCAACGACCGACTGAAACTCAAACTGCATCGACTTTAACTCAGATCCTGCCTCAAAGAACAAAACCAGATGAGAGTGTGTGTGAGTGTGTGTTTGTGAGTGTGTGTGTGTGAGTGTGTGTGTGTGAGTGTTTGTGTGAGTGAGTGTGTGTGTGTGAGTGTGTGTGTGTGAGTGTTTGTGTGAGTGAGTGTGTGTGTGTGAGTGTGTGTGTGTGAGTGTTTGTGTGAGTGAGTGTGTGTGAGTGTGTGTGTGTGAGTGTGTGTGTGTGTGAGTGTGTGTTTGTGTGTCCGGCTCACAGTTTGAATGAAAACAATTTCAAACTGTGGGCCGACACACTCACACTCACACACACACACACACACAGAGTCCGTTAGCCGTTTGGCTTCCTGCCAGTGTGAAGTCAGCGGGGCGTTCACTGACCCAGCAGGAAGGGAATTTATACATGATAAGATGAGAGGGCCAGTCACAGATCAGTGTTTACTTTCAAACACCTGAACTTTGACCTCAGCAGCCGTTAGCGCCGACAGAGCGGCCGCGGCACGCTTCACACGCTTCACACGCTTCACACACAGGCTTTAACTAACAGTCCAATTTTTTAAACAAGTTCAAATCTGTTTCTCTCTTAGAAGCTGAAACATCATCTGCCAGCGTTTCAGCTTCCCCAGGCTGACGGAGAGAACGAGAACCAGCCGGCATCAAACTCACCGAACCAGCGGCGGACGAACGCTCGTCTGAGCCGCCGCTCCTCCCCAACGCTCCTGAAGGAGATGTTCACCTCCTCCTCTGAACATGAGCACCTCACCACAGCAACACTTCCTCCTCCTCCTCCTCCTCCGGCCAGACTGCGCCACATGCTCCTCTGATACCCCATCACCTCTAACTCAGTCCCTCAGTGACACAACAGGGAGAAAACACTGCGTTCTCCTGCAGCTCTAGAGACACCTGAAGGCTCCACAGGTCAGGAGAGAGTGAGGAGACGCACACATGTTACTACAGGAGGAGGAGGAGGAGGAGGAGCATAAAAAAAGAAAGAGGAGGGACAAAAGACGGAGGAGGAGTCGCTCAAAGTAAAGATCAAAGAGGACAAAAAGGAGGAAGAGTTTTTAAAAGGGAAGAAAAAGGAAATGAGGTGAAGGGAGCAGGAGGAGGAGGCACAGGAGAAGGAGCAGGAGGAGCAGGAGGAGGAGGAGGAGCAGCAGGAGCAGCAGGAGCAGGAGGAGCAGGAGCAAGAGGAGGAGGAGCAGGAGCAAGAGCAGCAGGAGCAGGAGGAGCAGGAGCAAGAGGAGGAGGTGCAGGAGCAAGAGCAGCAGGAGCAGGAGGAGCAGCAGGCATAGGAGGAGAAGGAGCAGGAGGAGCAGCAGCAGGAGGAGCAGGAGGCACAGGAGGAGTAGGAGTAGCAGGAGGAGCAGGAAGAGCAGGAGCAAGAGGAGGAGGAGCAGGAGCATAAAAAGAGAAAGAGGAGGGACAACAGACAGAGGAGGAGGAAACGCTCAAAGTAAAGATCAAAGAGGACAAAAGGAGAGTTTTTAAAAGGGAGGAAAAAGGAAATGAGATGAAAGGAGCAGGAGGAGGAGGAGCAGGAGAAGGGGCAGCAGGAGGAGCAGGAGGAGCAGGAGCAAGAGGAGGAGGCGCAGGAGGAGCAGGAGGAGGCGCAGGAGCAGGAGGAGGGGGAGCAGGAGGAGCAGGAGCAGCAGGAGGAGCAGGAGGCGCAGGAGGAGGCGCAGGAGGAGCAGGAAGAGGCGCAGGAGGAGTAGGAGCAGCAGGAGGAGGAGGAGCAGGAGCAAGAGGAGGAGGAGCTGCAGGAGCAGGAGGAGCAGGAGGCGCAGGAGGCGTAGGAGCAGCAGGAGGAGCAGGAAGAGCAGGAGCAAGAGGAGGAGGAGCAGGAGGCGTAGGAGCAGCAGGAGGAGCAGGAAGAGCAGGAGCAAGAGGAGGAGGAGCAGGAGGAGCAGCAGGAGGAGCAAGAGGAGGAGGAGCAAGAGGAGCAGGAAGAGCAGGAGCAGGAGGAGGAGGAGCAGGAGGAGGAGGAGCAGCAGGAGGAGCAAGAGGAGCAGGAAGAGCAGGAGCAGGAGGAGGAGGAGCAGGAGGAGGAGCAGCAGGAGGAGTGATTAGAGGTGCTCTTCTAGTTTGTTCCATGTTTTTAACTTTGACTCTATGTTTTCACTGTAAAGCACTTTGCTGAAAAACAAAGTGTCTCCAACGTTCACGCCAACATGAAGCCTCTCTAAAACACTACAATACCCATGAGCCTCAGCGGCTACAGAGAAGAAGCCAGCCATAGAACTGATCCCGAATGAGAACATGATTAATTTTCACTTCACTGCCCACACAGACTTCTTCTCGTTAGTGTTAGTGGTTGTACCGGCCCTTTAAAGCCATTTCAACGGGTAAAAGGGGGCGGTGACGGATAAGACACGTGGCTTTGGTGTGAGAGACCCGAGTTCAATTCCCCACTGTGACCCATCCACCAACATGTCCCCGAGCACTTAGCTTAGCTTTGGATAGAAGCGTCAGCTGAATGAATAAATGTGAAAGCGCTGGATTGGATTTGGATAAGAATCATTGGGACACTTTGTTTTTATAAATATAATCTGTTTTCCAAACATAAAGCCACATTAGATTCCATCTGCAAAGACAGGCTAATATTCCTGCAGGCGTGTAGGCGCTGGGCCGTAAAAACTACAAGACATCCCAGAGGTCAAAGGTCAGAGTTCATCCCGAGGCTCTGGGGGAAACGAGACGCCATGACAGACGGCTGCCATCACAACAAACAGACGCATCATCACCTCCCATCATGCATCTGAGTGCAGCAGCGCACCGATCTGTCTGAAGCTAAAGGTCTGAGCCGCTACGATCCTGCAGCTTCCTGTCTGAACTCTGCAGGACTCCACGGACCCCCTGAGGTCCAGCTGCCCCCAGACCCTGAGACTGGACTCACAGCACCAGGCTGCACTTTCCCTCTGAGGCAGAGCTGACTTCCAGCGCCGTGGTCAGCTGACCTGGGAGCAGCGTCTGGCTGTGGGTTTGTTTGTTTGTGCCACTGAGCGTCTCGGCGGGGCGGAGCCAAGAGGCAGGACAATGGCCGACTGTTCTGGAGACACAGCGGAGTTCTTTAACCACGACGTCTCGTCCTGTTGCGGCCGGACAGACGCCTGCTGTGACTTCAGACGGCCAATCGGCTTCTGTCTGCTCTGCTCACAATCACTGAGGGTGGACAAAATATCAGAAACACGACAGACAAACAGGAAGCTGCGTGAGCGTGTGCGGCGCCTCGTGACCGCCGCGGGGTTTTCAGACACATCATGTACCTTCAGCTTCATTCTCAGCTGACCTCAGATCAGATTTGGTTTCATGTTCTCAAACCAACAGAATTCTGCACGTCCAGTACCGTCGCCTCCTCAGCGGTGACTCACGATTGGTCGGTTAAAGACAGAAAGAAACATTTAGTCCTGAACATGTTGACGCATCACTTCCTGTCAGTCTGACTGATCTGTGATCAGCTGGTGAGTCACGCTGTTCACCTGCTCAGTTACTCAACCTGAGAGTTTTACCTCCCCTCTGTGGAGGAGCGTCAGAGTTCCTGCGTGCCTCGAATGCCTCGCTCTGGCAGGATTAACCCCTCGTGTCCCGGCAGCTCACTGAGCTTTGTTACCATCTGATCACGCCTGGGATTTGAAAATAAGGCCGCACAGTGAAAAATGTTCGACAGTATTCTCAATAAAAATAAAAGTATAACGTTAATTTCACACATCTCCGTAGCCGCCATGTTGTTTCCACATTACGACTGAAAGCTCAAACACACAGAAGTCAGGAGAACGACCTTCTAACTCGGGAAACGAGGACATCCAAGCAGCACGTGAACGCACCGGGTAACGTATGACGAGAACGGGAGTTTGAGAGAGATCCACATCAAAGTCTCTCAGAGCGACTTTCCCCCAGACAGAAAACGCCAACGACATTTCTTTCTGGCATTAGGCGAGCACAGAGACTCCACAACAAAACTTCACGTCAGAAGAACTCGTTTAAAGTTCTGAAAATGAAAACTACGTTGTTTTAACTTGAAATTAACTTTAAACTAGAATGAGCATTTCCTTAAGAAAATGCGTGTGAGACGGTGCAACGTGCGGCTCCATCAGCTAAGACACTCAATGATTTGTTCAGCAAACAGTTAACATGCTGTTTTTCAGGGTTTTATCCATCAACCTCTGGAACCCGGAGCAAGAGCAAGACCTGAACCACCGGACTACTCAGATCCACTGTGAAGGGAAGGCTTTCAACTTTCTTTGTCAATCGTGTCTTATTCTGATAGAAAAAATGGCTCCTAAGCACCAACAGAAGACATGTTTTGCTTATAAACATATTTTGATGGCTACTCCGCTGTTGAAGAATAAAATAAATGAACAGCCAAAGAATTGTGCTGTGAAAGACTTGATATCACGTTAACAATTAATTGCATTTAACCACTGGAAGTCAGTAAGGACTCCACATTTTGTTAGCATCAACTTCAAACAACAAACAGCTCCGTAAATTTGCAAGCTTTAATATATTAATATCGTGACTCAAATCAACGTCAGGCACAAGTAGTAGTACTCTGAGGAGCGTCTCTGTATCTATCAGTGCAGCTGTTCTTATCTTCACTCCAGGTTTCAATAGTAAACCACCACAAGAATTACCAACAAAAAACACTATATTCTAAGCAGACACGTTTAACAAAACATTAATCACAAAGTGTTTGTTTTGTATTTTAAACAAATAGGAGACTTATTAGCAAATTGTAGCAAAACTTTCTTCACTGCCATGCATCATGGGAATTTAGCTCTGCCCCCGCTAGGTTGGAAGAGGAGTCCCATAGGAACCCATTCATTTTAAAATGCATAAAAATATTAATATAAAATCTGTGTAAAGTTTAAAGCTATAATGTTCTAACATTGCGACCCGAGGAATTTGTGGTCAACATATTTAGTTTTTTATCATTAAGTTCAAACACTATAGGCTACAGGTGTAGCTGCAGGATTCGAACCCACGATTGGAACAGGAGGTGCGGCTCCAGAGACTGATCACTAACTAACTGCACCAAAACAACAAATACAACTTAGAAAGATCAACATCTTTTCTGCAACTTACAGCTGAAATTGAGTCTCTAGCTGCACATATGCCGGAGCACTAAGCTCTTACAGTTGGAAGAGTGGAGTCCCTGCTCCCATAGGAACCCATTCATTTTAAAATGCATAAAAATATTGATATAACATCAGCAACACAGGTAATAGCACCCATAATAATAATAATAAAAAACTAAATAGGTAGGTTTATTGTCACAGGTTATAGAGTGAAAGTGAGTTTGTAACTCCTTTCTGCTACACAGCAGACAATATACACTAACACAGAAGCATTTATAAACGGTAAACAGGAATAAAGTGTCATCAGTGGAGCAGAGCTGAGGAGGAATCAGAGTTTAAGCTCAAAATGACTTCCTGCCGGCTGTTTTACAGCGAGAGCATCAAAGTGAAGAGTGTGTGTGTCTAATCTGTCATAATGGGGATTAAGCAGTTAGTTAATCCAGTAAAGTGAGATTACAACACACAACAACAACAACGCTCCCCTCAGATCTGACCAATCAGCTGCCCCGACCTCCAGAAGAGCAGCGGGGCGTCGCTCTTCATACGTGGGTTAACGGGTTACTCAGATTATGATGTCGATATCTTGACTTTGGACCTTTTGGTTCTTCGAAGCTGCTTTTTAAACACAAACCTTTCAGACGTGCAGTTCACCGACCGCCAGCCGGGTCAGGGCCAAACAGGAAGTCAGGTTCAGAACATGCAGCTTACTGATTGATGGCTTGATGATCACCGTTAAGGACACGATGGCCAGAGGATCGGTTCTGAGAGGAGACCTTATCCATAACACCCAAATCTTCTAAATATAGATTTACTATTATAAATCTAATCTGGTGAAAAGTTCCCCGTTAAAATAAATTAACTTCCTCTACAGGTGAAGCAACAGGTTCTCACCTTAGTCACTCGCACACATCACAAGGGAACGTTCAAGAGGGCTTAACACAACTGTCTGTCGCTGAAGAGAGAGTCTGCATGACAGCCTGCGTGAGAGCATGCG